TTTTTCAGAAAAAACTAGAGTTCCACGATCTCATACCTTCGCCAAATGATGTTAGCCTTTATGAATAAGAAATATATTAATCACCCTGATTATGCATATAGGATCCTCAATTGCATGAATTATATCAGTCTGTTGATCATATTCTACACCAAAAGACAGTCTTATCTTAACAAAGAATGCCATTTCCTCATAAATTATGCAAATGTGGTCCTTATTTGAATAAGTTATGTTTAATTATGTTCACCTTCACTTAACTTTCAAACACCCCAAGTATGAAATTCCAGGCAGTTACCACTATGCAATTATAACATTTTCTCATTAATTATGCAAATTAAGTCTTCATTTGCATAATCGATATTTGCCTGTGTTTCTCTCGTTCTTAATAACATATGTTACAATCCTGAACTTCCTATCATGGAATGCAGCTGATTTATAGAATTTCCTCATTAATTATGCAAATTACATCAATATTTGCATAATTGTTATATCATTATGTTATAACGTTAAGCATCACTTAAGCTACCTACATACCAAAAATCACGATGATCCATCAATCGATTCTTGAGTTATCCTCTTTTAAACATTTGTCCTTTAAACCCCCCTGCAGTTCCAGAGCAAGCCACTAGGGGGCTCAATCTCATGTCACTTCATCCCCAGCACAAGAGCTATCTACCACTTAAATTTGGTTACCCTAGCATGTATGGATCTTGAGATATCAAAACCGGAAGTTCTGCTGCAGTACCATGACAAGCCGCCAGGTGACCCAAAATCTAATCATTTTGAGGTCTCATCAAGACCTACCCACCTACCAAATATCAAGTCAGTCCATGTAAGCCTTCTCAAGTTATCGTGTTGACAGACACACACACACACACACACATACACGAACGCCTCTGAAAACATAACCTTCTTGGCGAAGGTAAATATGAAGCGACAGGGCGAAAAATATAAATAAAAACAGGTCTAGGCATCCTATTATAGCCCAAAATGCTTAGATAAGAGCCATGAAGTCAACACAAAAGGCTGGGTTGAAATTTCAACAATGAATTTTGAGCTTTTAATCAAACCACTGCATTGATAGATGGAAAAAGTGTAGGAAGAAAAGGACTTTCCTCAACAGTTGGGGGCAAAATATGAGCATTTTTTGACTTAATTCCAAACCAGAATCTTTGTTTTTTTTTAAATGAAGAGGGGAATCCGAGAACCAACAAATTAAATTGGTGTGGCCTTATGTTCGTGATAGCAAAAGTTTGCGGTCTGCGGTGGCGGCAAGTGCAGCAAAAAGAAAGTTGGCAAATTATCTGTTCGCGGTAATGACAAGTTTGCGGTACAAGTATCGCGAAAAATCATGATTTACAGGAGCCGAGAACTAGTTTTGACTCACTGTCATCGGCTCTCGAAGGAGGAGTCGTTTAAATGGATTTATTATCTTTGAGGCTAAAGTATTGATCTGACTTAGTAAGAAAAGTTGGAGACTATCCAGGACAGATGGAGTTGTATGAGTGGGGTCGTGTGGCATAATGGCAATGTGTTTTATTTGTTTCGTCTTTATTTTGATTTTGTGTATAATGTTTTCTACCACACGCTTGAAAATGAAGTGGTTGTCATATATAGGCAGAGATTGGGCCATGTGTGGTCTCAAAGTAGGTTGTGGTTGCAAGTCCCTTAATGCTTATATTGTATAGGAAGACAATATTAAGTGCAAGAAAAAGTGGTCACTATGGACAGATGGCCTGCTTATACTACGTTATAGAGTTGGTCACGTAGTGAAGATTGACTGTACATTTTTTTAAATTTTATTTTGAACAAGATTGGTCCCTCCAGCTGATGTTTTGCACTCTTAGCCCCGGTCACGTACATTATAATATTATGCACCTACATACACAATGTTTAAGTTGTTTCTACAAAAATCGTCCCATGATATTGAAGTTTAAGGCAGTTTTTTCCTCTCCATACAGTGTTCACCAGAATACATACGTGACAATGCTGTTTAATGATGAGATCCACACATATGAACAGGTATGTGTTCAGTTCTTAATTCACAAACACTAGTCTTGTTAAACAGGAGCTAACATTTTTATGACTGTCATCTTCATCAGGGCAGTTATGACTGGTTCACTGTGCACTGAAGCCAAAATTCAACACTAGGGATACATGTTTAAAGTTAAGACTTTTGGTCCAACACAAAAAATTCTCTCACCTAGAGCTTTCGACCAGTCACTCTGGTCTTCCTCAGTAGACTGACCCAGTGAAGCTTGTTGACGTGGCTTCTTTGAAGTGTGACATCAACACTGGGTGAAAGGTATCTGGTAGACGATGTCGGCCCCCGTCGCGGTTCAATGTAGGGTGATTGGCCCTGATGTAAATGGAATCCTTCATCCCTCTCAAGAAATAGTCTTGTTCAGTGTCTAAAATCCTTACAGTGTCAAGTGAAACAAAGTGTACGGTGACTCTATGTGGGTGTGTTGAGACACCTCTGAACTACTGAGGAAGACCAGAGTGACTGGTAGAAAGCCCTAGGTGAGAGAATTTTTGCGTTTGCGACCGCTCACGGTCGCAAACGCAATGTTTTCGGATATATGAATGGGTCGATCTTTCATTCAATGGGTCCTTGGGTCCTTCGTTCAACGGACTATGCCATAGCCTTGCTCCTATTCCTACAGTCCTTTCCTGGTCTCATATGCTCGAATCGCTAAAACTGTGCTACAATAATATAAAAAGCTCACACAGCAATAAGTCTGACAAAGGGATACATTTTATAATACGATTTCACGTTAAAATGTTGCTGACGCGAGTCATAAACTGGCAAAAAAACACGCACTGTTCGTCTGGCCATATATTATGTTAATGATTGCAGTACCGCCTATGCTCGCCAGGGGACATAATGTACTAGTATGTGTGAGCGCAAGGAACCGCCTTGGTGTGCGTAATCGCGGATATATCCGGGATCGCTGACTCGCAGTACATGCCCTGTGTGCGGGTCCCGGATAAACTGTACATGTACAGTATTCAGAATGGCGGTATTTCCCGGGCAAAAACATAGCGGCGCTGCAGCGCGACCGGTCAACCAAACCCGGAAGTCAGTCAAAGACGGTGAAAAAGGTCAGGGGTCAAATAGCATTACATCATCACAATTTCTTGCAGCTGTCGTGTGCCAAGCTTTCTATTTGTTTTTAGGGTCTTTTCGGCGATAAAGTTCTGATTTTACTCGCGAAATGTTCGGATTTACGCTGAAATACGTGCTTGGGGACCTTGATAGTATTAATTTTAGGGCAATTTATCCTTCTCTCGGCGAGGATTCTCCAGAAAGACCAGAAAGTACCGACATTGTGGGGAGCACACGGAACAAAATTATCGCCCTGATGGGAATTTTTACTTACTACGTAGGAGTTTGAGAACTTGGTATCCGCCGCGGAGTCGACAGTGGTCCGCGATTTTGCAAACGAGGTAGACGTAGGAGGCGAGAAGTATGATGCACCTTATTTTAGAGCTCCATAAATTAGAATACCGTCCTTGTAACATATTAGCGTTTCAGCTAAATAGTCAGTTCAGCACCCAGGGCAGTCTGTAGTCATAAAATTCACCAGTAGTAATACGGTCTCCATTCCTTTTATTCAATGAAAGTATTTTATGTTGTCAGAATTTGCCAGGAACTGTATATTCCAAGTGGAAGTGATTTTGTGTGTACTTGAGTGAATTGTATTGAAACCATTGTGGAAAATGTGTATTTTATTAATTTAAAAATAAAATCTAAACTAAACTACCTACATGCATGCCAATACTAACACACAAAATGTATATGTGTATGTAGGGGAGCTAGATTTCAATCAAAGGTCATATCATCACTTCAAAGAAAAAGCACATTTGCTGCATACGATTTTGTTGTGCAAAAACACCACACCAGCAAACGCCTGCTTTTCAAAAGCACTTGTTTGTGTTGGACCAAAAGTCTTAACTTTAAACATGTAACTACCAACACAGATGAACTTTCAGAAAGGATAGTACTAGGGATACATGTACATACTTACAGTGTCATATTCTTTGCAGAGCAAACAGTAGTCTTCACTGATTGGTCAATTATTTTTAGGGGAACCAATCAGCATCCACATGATTTAACCTGTAGAGTGGTACCTGACTATGATTTAGAGCCTGAAACGTGTTATACAGGCAAATTTTAACAAAGTCGCTATTTCTTTTGGAAATGGTCGGAAATAATTTTCTTGCATTCCTAACGTCTCTCTGAGGTGTTAGAAGTGCAAGAAAAATATTCCTGACCTTTTAAAAAAAAAATTGGCACATTGTACCTTATAAATGTATTTTAGGTATGACATTAGTGATTGTGTTCAACTTACCAGAAGTTGTTTTACCCCCACAGGTCATCAGCGCCTTGACAAAAGCCATCAGCTGTCAGCAGAAGGAAGCAGTGGAGTTTGCTACTGTGGTGGACCGAGAGGTAGGAAGTAACATGAAAACCAGAAATTAAAGTTACTGTAACATTTGCAAAGCAAATGCATAATGTTTACCTTCGCACATGGGCTGCTCTGTTAATTCTTACTCAAACTCATTCACAACATGGTGATAGGAGTCTAAATCCCTCCCAACTATAAAATTGCAACATAATGTAACCCAACACCAGTTACCATGGTGAGAGACATGACAGAAACAGAACCATTCGCATAAGGAGACATCTTGCCCGAATAAAAGACAATAATAAAAGTCTTTATAAAAGGTAATATATAAAAGACAAAAATTTGTTATTTTTCCACAGGGGAGAAGCTCTGTCAGATATGGCAACCGGAAAAGCTGTGACCAGGCCCGCTCTGTCATTCAGGTAGGGATAATGCCGGATTCAAAAAGCATCTTTCTTTAAAACTGACTGTATGCCATTGAGATTATTACCTTCGCCAAGAAGGTTATGTTTTCAGTAGCGTTTGTCTGTTTGTTTGTTTGTGAACAGCATAACTCAAGAAGCTTAATATGGATTGTCATGTAACTTGGTATGTGGGTAGGTCTTGATGAGACCTAGAAATGATTAGATTTTGGGCCCCCTGGCGGCTTTTGTTGGTACTGCAGCTGAACTTCCGGTTTTGATATCTCGCGATCTAGACATGCTAGGGTCACGAATTTTGGTTGGTAGATAGCTCTTGGGGTAGGGAAGATGTGACCTGAGTTAAGACCCCCTAGCAGCTTGTTCTGGAACTGCAGGAGCGTTTCTTGAAAAATCTCCGAAGGTTGATAACTCAAGAACCGGTTGACGGATTGTCATGATTTTTGGTATGTAGGCAGCTGAAGTGATGCTTGACATAATCAGATGACAATTATGCAAATCATGAGCTAATTTGCATAATTAATGAGGAAATTCTATAAATCTGCTTCGTTCGATAATACGACTATGAAACACTTGTGACATGTAATTGAGAACTAGAAAAACATCTGAGGACATAGATTATGCAAATGAAGACCTAATTTGCATAATTAATGGCAAATTGTTATAATTTCATAATTGTAATTGCTGGGAATTTCTTACTTGCCGCATTTGGAAGTTAAGTGAAGGTGAACATCAAAGAAGATAATTTATTTACATTATGACCTCATTTGCATAATTTATGAGGAAGTGCTAGAATAGCCTATTTTGTTAAGATAAGGCTGCCATTGGGTGGAGAATATGATCAACTGATGTAATCCATGCAAATGACGCTCTTATTTGCGAAATCAATTATTAAAATTGTATAATTCGTCAACCGCAAGGGTTAACATCATTAGGCGAAGGTATGAGATCGTGGAACTCTTGTTAGAAAAGAATTATGTATATTTTGCTTTTCGTCTCTTCTTTACTCCACAACAATTTTACCAGTTGGGTCTCGGATTCGCCCCACTTAATTTTTTCTGACTTGCCCCCCCCCACACACACACCAAAAAAAACAAATTCAAGTTCTGAATCAACTCCAAAATGCTTGATTTTTGCCACAACAGAAAGTCCCTGTCTTCCTACATGTAGTTATGACAGTTTTTCCATCTATCATTGTAGAGGTTTGATTAAAAGTTTCAGAATGCTTTAGAAGTCTTTGTTGGTTGGTGGTTGAAGGAAGGTTCTAAATGTGTGACAGGTGCTTTGTACCATATAATGAAATTATCATGCATATTACTGGTGCAATGGCCAAGTGGGTTGAGTGCTCGCCTTGCATTTCGTAGGTCATGAGTTTGATCCCCGGCCGAGTCATACCAAAGACTTTATAAAAGTGGTACATGTTCATGCTGCTCTCTCTACTTAGCACTCATCATTTTAGAAAGAATATGGGAGTCAAACACAAACCACTACCAGTGGACTAACCCCCTGCTATACATGTAGTGACTACACAACTGTGTGGCCTAAGGGCTACNGAAACGTGTTATACAGGCAAATTTTAACAAAGTCGCTATTTCTTTTGGAAATGGTCGGAAATAATTTTCTTGCATTCCTAACGTCTCTCTGAGGTGTTAGAAGTGCAAAGAAAATATTCCTGTGACCTTTTAAAAAAAAAATTGGCACATTGTACCTTATAACTGTATTTTAGGTATGACATTAGTGATTGTGTTCAACTTACTAGAAGTTGTTTTACCCCCACAGGTCATCAGCGCCTTGACAAAAGCCATCAGCTGTCAGCAGAAGGAAGCAGTGGAGTTTGCTACTGTGGTGGACCGAGAGGTAGGAAGCAACATGAAAACCAGAAATTAAAGTTACTGTAACATTTGCAAAGCAAATGCATAATGTTTACCTTTGCACATGGGCTGCTCTGTTAATTCTTACTCAAACACATTCACAACATGGTGATAGGAGACTAAATCCCTCCCAACTATAAAATTGCAACATAATGTAACCCAACACCAGTTACCATGGTGAGAGACATGACAGAAACAGAAACATTCGCATAAGGAGACATCTTGCCCGAATAAAAGACAATAATAAAAGTTTTTATAAAAGGTAATATATAAAAGACAAATAAAAATTTGTTATTTTTCCACAGGGGAGAAGTTCTGTCAGATATGGAAACCGGAAAAGCTGTGACCAGGCCCGCTCTGTCATTCAGGTAGGGATAATGGATTCAAAAAGCATCTTACTTTAAAAACTGACTGTATGGCATTGAGATTATTAGAAAAGAAATTTCTATATTGCTTTTCGTCTCTTCTTTACTCCACAACAATTTTACCAGTTGGGTCTCGGATTCGCCCCACTTAATTTTTTCTGACTTGCCCCCCCCCACACACACACCAAAAAAACAAATTCAAGTTCTGAATCAACTCCAAAATGCTTGATTTTTGCCACAACAGAAAGTCCCTGTCTTCCTACATGTAGTTATGACAGTTTTTCCATCTATCATTGTAGAGGTTTGATTAAAAGTTTCAGAATGCTTCAGAAGTCTTTGTTGGTTGGTGGTTGAAGGAAGGTTCTAAATGTGTGACAGGTGCTTTGTACCATATAATAAAATTATCATGCATATTACTGGTGCAATGGCCAAGTGGGTTGAGTGCTCGCCTTGCATTTCGTAGGTCATGAGTTTGATCCCCGGCCGAGTCATACCAAAGACTTTATAAAAGTGGTACATGTTCATGCTGCTCTCTCTACTTAGCACTCATCATTTTAGAAAGAATATGGGAGTCAAACACACACCACTACCAGTGGACTAACCCCCTGCTATACATGTAGTGACTACACAACTGTGTGGCCTAAGGGCTACATTAACAGAGATGGGCACTGCCATATGCGACCATACCAATATGGTTGCGGGGAGGACTTTTAAAAAACTTTTACCATGTGGTTTGCCACCATGATCGGTAACATGCCAGGATTCGAACCCATGACTTCTTGGTTCTGAGATGAACACCGTTACACCACATGACACCACAGTAAAACCTCTGACTACAATGTACATTGATAGATGGAAAAACTGTAATAACTAGGAAGACAAGGTATGTCGTTTCAACCTTGCCGTGGCAAGCATGTTGGCAGAATTTACTGTGGTGTCATGTGGTGTAACGGTGTTTGTCTCAGAACCAAGAGGTCACGGGTTCGAATCCTGCCATGTTACCGATCTTGTGCACTCAAACAGGGCTTGAACTTCCTCTGTGTGGAAATTAATTTTACAGACCTTGCGGGGCAATCTCGCCTTGGTTCAGCCTGACCTTGTAATTACACCATGTACCATGTCAGTATCCCCACAATCAGCGTCGGATATTGGAAACATTGTGATTGCTCTGCTATCAAGTATTAGGGACTGTCAGTTATCATCGCATTCGATCGATGCTGGCTAATCCGAGCCGCTTCTTACGCTGCGAACCTAGACTGAAAAATATGGAGATGTAATCAGAAGTCCGCGGGGAACGTTCATCGCATGTATCTACTTAAGATCTAACTCTCCTCTACATGTACACACAGTGCAGATCAAGTTTATTCAAAACTGTTCAGCCTTTTAATTTCATGTTGACTTTGGAAGTAAACATCTGTGTCCTTCCTGTTATTTCAAACTTGCCATGGCAAGCACGTGGGCAGAATAGACCGTTCCAGATCGAACGCATCGAATCCTATTTCGAATCCACTGACTGTTCTATTTCGAACACCTCCGTCAAACTCAGCGCGGGAAATCTAAAAGCAGCAAACTGAGTTGATGTCTGCTGGATAAAAACTCCTTGTTTTACATGTGAAACTGAATTTGTGACATTGCATGCACTTTCAAGTTGATTAAGGATCCCATGTACGTACATGTACAAGCTGCGTAAGACCGGACTGTAAGGTTTAAACCACTTCTAACACCAGAAAGGTCCCCTACTCTTTTTGATAAGTGCGGTGAGTTCTTTAACATGTGTGGGGTGTGGCTCTCCTCAAACACGGGACCTCCATTTAACGTCCTATCCGAGGGACGTCCCTAACCGAAGTTAGGTACTCATTTCCACCAGTGAGTGAAGTGAGGAAAATTGTGTACGTGCCTTTCCCAAGGGCACAAGATCGGTGACATGGGCAGGATTCAAACCCGCAACCTCTTGGGTGTGAGCCAACTGCGCTACCGACTGCACCACACGACCCCACTGTTTTTAATGAAAGTTTATTGCAAATACTTGCCCGAGGGCTAATTGCAGTTACAAACAACATACTTTTTTTTTTAGAAAGAAAATACAGTGGTATGTGAGACTATATCTACTTCTAACATTATACTATATTCTACAACATGACATGACACTAGTTTTACTGGGTTTGACTTCTTCTTTTTAGGCAATGCAAGACGAATTTACACCAAATGTATGTGGGTTCTTTGATTTTAGAAGTAAAATTATTTTTTTGGTGGTAGGGAATGGTGGGGAAGTAAGGCAGCATTTTGGACACGGTGGTAAATAATTGATTTCTGATGTCGTCATTAGCGTTTCATCTTTAAAATTTTTTCTCCTTTTGCCTCATATTTTTCTCTGAAAAAATCTGAGAAACAGCAAATTGAATTAGTGTGGCCTAAGGCCACACCAATTTAATTTCTTGGTTAACGGATTCGCCCGCTTCATTTTTTTCTGATTTGCAAATAAAAATAAATATTCAGAATCAACTGCAAAATGCTCATATTTTGCCCTGAACAGTTGAAAACAGTCCTTTTCATCATTGTTGTTGCAGTTATTCCATCTTTCAATGCAATGGTATCATTGGTATCATTAAAAGTTCAAAATTCATTGTTTAAATGTTGAACCAGCCTGGTGTGCTGACTTCATGGCTCCTATTGTACCATTTTGGGCCATAATAGGATGCCTAGGCCTGTTTTTATTTTTATTTTATTTTCGCCCGCCCGCTCCATTATTTTTCTCGAAAAATCTGTTAACCAAGAAATTAAATTGGTGTGGCCGAATCGTGACTTCATAACCGTTGAACTTGTTTCCCTCTCCAGAGAAGCACGTCACTGCGTTCCAAGCCCCTAAAGGTGGAGGTCATGCACACGTCGGTGTGCGCTCACCAGGCATTCGCACAGAAGGTGCTCAACTGGCTGGGACAGGTTGTCAACCATTCAGGTAAGCAGGCGTGGAAGTTTTTTGATTGACTCTCTATTGTCCCAGCACTGTCCCAAAAATTAATTTCAACTGTCCCGAAGTGAGGATAAACTGTCCCAACCTGTTTTTTTTTGGAACATGTGTATACCAGTTGCTTGCGCTGGTTGTCCTTAGTACGGTAATTAAAAGAGGTAATCCTTAAGGTTTTGATGACTTTCTGTGCAATATTTCAGGCTTTTTATTTGGTGGTAGTATTCCTATGATCCAAACCTAACTTATGATGCCTGCCTTTATTTGACCTCCTTGTTATTTGGCACTTTGATAACCACACTGCCAAAGCACCCTATGTTGCTTACAGCCCAGCGTTTGAATGGTAATTAAAATCGGAGGCCTCTTTCTATCCCTTTTGACCTGCTTTTGATGATTTTATGGGCAGTATGTTTTATTTTTTATTATACATTTTCACAAAACTCCTTTGTACCAAGCCTAACTAATACAATCATGGTATTACATGCATGTTAGCTTTATTTTCTCATCATGTCCCACTTTGAAAATTCATAACTTAACATTCTTAACATTTTAATACAGCGTTCTGGCTAGTTCTTGCCTGCCCTCCTAAATTTACCATATTTTTAGCATTGCCAGGATCCCCCATGCAGACCCTCAGTCATGTATCAGTCTCTAATATCCTGCAGGCACTATTTGAAGTCTTATACCCGGTTAACACGCAGTTTTTCGCGACGACAATTGAGGTTGCAGGTTTGATGATATTCATGGACAGAGGATGTATCTGTGTCAGTATAACCGCCCTTCGGCATAACACACCAGCTTCTGTATCTGTATAGCCGGTATAACCGCCCTTCGGCGTAACACACCAGCTTCTGTATCTGTATAGCCGGTATAACTGCCTTTTGGCGTAACACACCAGCTTCTCTATCTGTATAGCCGGTATAACTGCCCTTCGGCGTAACACACCAGCTTCTGTATCTGTATAGCCGGTATGACCGCCTTTCGGCGTAACAGACCAGCTTCTGTATCTGTATAGCCGGTATGACCGCCTTTTGGCGTAACAAACCATCTTCTCTATCTGTATAGCAGATATAACCGCCTTTCGGCATAACACACCAGCTTCTGTATCTGTATAGCCGGTATAACTGCCCTTTGGCGTAACACACCAGCTTCTGTATCTGTATAGCCGGTATGACCGCCTTTCGGCATAACAGACCAGCTTCTGTATCTGTATAGCCGGTATGACCGCCTTTCGGCGTAACAAACTATCTTCTCTATCTGTATAGCAGGTATAACCGCCTTTCGGCATAACACACCAGCTTCTGTATCTGTATAGCTGGTATAACTGCCCTTTGGCGTAACACACCAGCTTCTGTATCTGTATAGCCGGTATAACCGCCCTTTGGCGTAACACACCAGCTTCTGTATCTGTATAGCCGGTATAACCGCCCTTCTGCGTAACACACCAGCTTCTATATCTGTATAGCTGGTATAACCGCCCTTCGGCGTAACGCACCAGCTTCTGTATCTGTATAGCCGGTATAACCTTCCACTCTGCGATAGTTCTAGGAAAGAATGAATTCTTCAACACCTCAATCCTTGGTTGATAACTCTGGTACTTGAAGGCATGGCTATTTCTTGTTCTCTTCTGGGCTGGTATTAGCTACTTAGTAGTTGGGACATCCACCAGTGTGAGTGTCAATGTGTAAGATGGGTACCTGACTTCAGTTGGGGAGGTACATGTACAAAGGCATTGGAAGGAGAGGGATGGGCTCTGCCCTCCAATACCGTAGACACATTGGATCAACAACACACTGCTTCTACAGCCTTTACATTTTCATGGCTTCACCACTATTCTCCTTGCTGATTGGCTGTTCGGATTTGATTGGGTTAACTCAATTAACACCTGTGCAAAGCCATGCCATATTGACAGTATGAACTGCATTCAAGTGTTTTTGTGGGTACATGTATGTCAAGCTTTCCTGTTCCAGCATTGGAATGCGGGGCTTAAACGCTTCGTTTTATCCTGAAAATCAACAGTGTGCATTATGCAATTAAAAATCGTAACCAATAATGTAGGGGATAGCTATCCAACAGTTGTCACTTGAAACTATAGTTATATCAATGTAAAGAATTGTTTTCCCTTGTGTTCCTTCTGTCCCTGCCATGTCGTTACTAGATGTGGTGAAGCCATCCGCTACATTTGCTCCAAAGCAAATGTCGGCCTTTCTATAGTTTACTGTAATTTGTGTACTCAACTACAGCACAACCAGAAGTGATAGGAAGTCTATGGATGTCTATGGATGAATGAGCAGTCAGCGACCGTTGTAAGGGGCTCTTATTATGGGTTCACCACACCACGAAGTGGTGTGGTGAAACCATATTGCTTTTTCTGATGTTTCTTCTCCTTCTCCTCCTCCTTCTCCTCCTCCTGCCATATCTTTAAATGGATTCAGCTTCTTCATTTTAGGGCCTAAGGTCCTGAAATTTGGTATGGAGGTACAGTGGGCAAATACCCCTAGGCGTTTTTTAAATTATTGTGATACAGGCTTTTAGAATGGTTTTATTTGAGTTTTTTGGCTGTGTAATAGCTAATGTATTACTGTGTAAGTGTGCAGTGTTTACCACATTTGGACATGAGTCATCACAATGGCATGCAAGGCATCAACCAATAGGCATGCAGCTTTCCTCTATTCTCCTTGCTGATTGGCTGTTGGGATTTAACTGGCTTAACTTCATTTACACCTGCACAGAGCCATGCCATACTGACAGTATGTCTGTATTCAAGTGTTTTGGTAGGTATTTTAAGCTTTCCTGCTCCAGCATTGGAATGCGGGCTATGAACGCTTCTTTTTATCTTGAAAATCAACAGTTTGCATTATGCAATCCTAACCAATAATGTAGGGAATAGCTATCCAACTGTTGTAGTCTTAGTTGTATGTTACTTCATACTATAGTTATATCAATGTAAAGCATTGTTTTCCCTTGTGTTTCTCATTCTTTCCCTGCCATGTGGTAAAATGTGGTGAACCCATCGCTATATTTGCTCCAAAGCAAATATTGGCCTTTCTAGTTTATTATACTTTTTCTGGTGGTAGTAACTTTCACAAAACTCCTTTGTACCAAGCCTAACTAATAGTAATACAATCATGGTATTACATGCATGTACCTTTAACTTAGCTTTATTTTCTCATTATGTATCACTTTGAAATTCATAACTTTGAACATCTAACTCTAGACATAATGTTTAAAGCTATAGTAATGACAATGCCCCTACTGTACTTGGTGACAGCGAGTTCCACTCTGCGATTATCATAGTTCTAGGAAAGAATGAATTCTTCAACACCTCAATCCTTGGTTGATAACTCTGGTACTTGAAGGCATGGCTATTTCTTGTTCTCTTCTTGGCTGGTATTAGCTACTTAGTAGTTGGGACATCCACCAGTGTCAATGTGTAAGATGGGTACCTGACTTCAGTTGGGGAGGTACATGTACAAAGGCAGTGGAAGGAGAGGGATGGGCTCTGCCCTCCAATACCGTAGACACATTGGATCAACAACCCACTGCTTCTACAGCCTTTACATTTTTATGGCTTCACCACTATTCTCCTTGCTGATTGGCTGTTCGGATTTGATTGGGTTAACTCAATTAACACCTGTGCAAAGCCTTGCCATATTGACAGTATGAACTGCATTCAAGTGTTTTTGTGGGTACATGTATGTCAAGCTTTCCTGTTCTGAACAGCATTGGAATGCGGGGCTTAAACGCTTCGTTTTATCCTGAAAATCAACAGTGTGCATTATGCAATTAAAAATCATAACCAATAATGTAGGGGATAGCTATCCAACAGTTGTCACTTGAAACTATAGTTAAATCAATGTAAAGAATTGTTTTCCCTTGTGTTCCTTCTGTCCCTGCTATGTCGTTAGATGTGGTGAAGCCATCCGCTACATTTGCTCCAAAGCAAATGTCGGCCTTTCTATAGTTTACTGTAATTTGTGTACTCAACTACAGCACAACCAGAAGTGATAGGAAGTCTATGGATGTCTATGGATGAATGAGCAGTCAGCGACCGTTGTAAGGGGCTCTTATTGCGCTTTGTTTCCCCAAACCTCTCGGGTAGTCCCCAACCTTGGTCCGGACGTGCCAAACCCTGATGAAATCTGACAAATGAGGAAGGATGGCCCCTCTCGTTTTTTGCCAACCGGTCTCACTGAGACGCATTTAGGCCACACCAAGTAAATTTTATGGATGACATCCTTTGGAGACCCTAAATCTAATGCGAGAGGGCGAAAAAAAAACAAGTAGGGCCCTAAAAATCAAGATGCCTAGATTAGAAATGTACTAAGAGACGACAAATGTTAGGACACAAATTGAATGAGGTGACACAGTGTAACAAGCAAGAAGTCTTTTATTCATCATCAAAACAGCAATAAATCAGGTGGAACAGTGGACAGTGAAAACAGGATGGTAATAGACACTTTCTTCACGTTACGGGTTTCACGTCAAATTCTGACGATGTGCGGCGCTGTCGTGACTCTTTGGTCACAGTTACAGGAAGCGGAATTTCTTGGGTTTTTTTTTCTAGGAACATGTCAAAATCAATGCGCGCGAGGACGTCATCCATAAAATTTACTTGGTGTGGCCTTACAAATTACAGGCAGTGTGGCAGTCATTGATGGATAGAACTGACACCATTACAACTTTTAACAAGAGCTCATCAGCGCTCTTTTTAATTGTGGTTTTGAGAGAGCGAAGCACTGAAGAGGTAGACTCGACACCTCCAATCCAATTTCTCAAAGGCAATGTAATCATGGCCCTTCAGGGAGGTGACCTCTTCGCAGGCCTGTTTTTAATTGGATTTGCATCGGTTCTCCACAACTCGCCCGAAGCAGTAATTTCTGCACTAATCAAACTTTGAAAAGTTGTCCCGAATTCTGAAATTTGCTCGTCCCTGTAGTTTTAGAGAATACAAGGAGAGTTATATTGTACATACAACCTTGTGAGTTAAAGCTGCATTATGTAACATTAGGTCACGATAGCAGTAATTTCTGCACTAATCAAACTTTGAAAAGTTGTCCCGAATTCTGAAATTTGCTCGTCCCTGTAGTTTTAGAGAATATATTAGGAGAGTTATATTGTACATACAACCTTGTGAGTTAAAGCTGCATCATTCAACATTAGGATGATGCAAAAAAAATTTATTTTCTGGTCATTTCTTCACAAAGTAAGTTGAAACTTGTATCAATCCCACTTTGTTGCAAAGATGTGCCATTCAGGAAGTGGCTTTCGAAGGAGTGTGTTTAAAACCTGGAAAGACAGATGCCAGCCATGTTTGTTTAATTACATTCTGGTATATTGTGGTGGTACCACAAACTGCACCTCATGAGGGTTTATTCGTTCATTAAATGGCCTGTAGCCATTGTACTACCTGATACCAGCTCAGAAAGGAACAAGCCATAGTCATGCCTTCAAGTACCAGAGTTATCAACCAAGGATTGAGGTGTTCAAAAACTCATTTCCTAGAACTATCGTAGAGTGGAACTCACTGCCACCAAGTACAGTAAGGGTATTATCACTAGGTAGCTTTAAACAATGTTTAGAGTTAGATGTTTAAGGGTTAGGTGTAACAAGTCGTTTGGTGTAATATAGCCAGCTGCCGCCACACCACATGCCTGTGAAGCTGGTGTGTTACGTCAAAGGGCAGTTATACCGGCTATACAGATAGTACTGAAAATGGTGTGTTATGCCAAAGGGCAGTTATACTGGCTATGCAATGTACAGATACAGAAGCTGGTTTGTTCTGCCAAAGGGCGGTTATACTGGCTTAAAGAATGCTACAGAATCTCTCATTCTATCATGCTGACATACATGTACATGTGTGTGCCCTGTATTACAGGATGGTCTGAGACATATCCTGTACATGTGTGTGGCTTGTTTTTCAGATTGTCTGACATGTGTGTGCCCTGTGTTACAGATGGTCTGAGACATATCCTGTGTTCCACCGCCCTGCAGCAGCCTCCTACAGGAGACCCGTGTGTGGTGGAGAGACTCATGCTGGCAGACACTGCACTGTGGAAGAGTGAGTCTTCAAAAAATATGCAGAGTTCTAGTAGTGGCGTCGGGTGGCGTAGTGGTAGAGCATTAAGCCTCGGTCACAACCCGCTGTGCATGCTTTTTGTCCGTACGTTTTATTGGGAGGCCACGTCTGCTATGTTTTTCTGAAAACGTGGGGAAGGAGTGGCGTCAACGCATGTCACTCGCACGTCACTCGCAGGGTTGGGCAAGGTGTAAGAGTGTGGTCTGCACGCTACGTCTGGCCGTACTTGCACGCACAATGCACACGAGTGGTGAATCCGCAGACCGCACGCAGAAAAATGTTTACAACTGCACTTAAAGTTCTACGGCGTGTCTGCGTGCTCCCAAATCCGTAGGATTCCATACGGAGGTGGTACTCAACACGCACGGATGCCCTACGTTTGCCCACATTTTGCAGGTAGACAGCACGCAGATGCACGTATGNCTGGCTTAACTTCATTTACACCTGCACAGAGCCATGCCATACTGACAGTATGTCTGTATTCAAGTGTTTTGGTAGGTATTTTAAGCTTTCCTGCTCCAGCATTGGAATGCGGGCTATGAACGCTTCTTTTTATCTTGAAAATCAACAGTTTGCATTATGCAATCCTAACCAATAATGTAGGGAATAGCTATCCAACTGTTGTAGTCTTAGTTGTATGTTACTTCATACTATAGTTATATCAATGTAAAGCATTGTTTTCCCTTGTGTTTCTCATTCTTTCCCTGCCATGTGGTAAAATGTGGTGAACCCATCGCTATATTTGCTCCAAAGCAAATATTGGCCTTTCTAGTTGCGCTTTGTTTCCCCAAACCTCCTGGGTAGTCCCCAACCTTGGTCCGGACGTGCCAAACCCTGATGAAATCTGACAAATGAGGAAGGATGGCCCCTCTCGTTTTTTGCCAACCGGTCTCACTGAGACGCATTTAGGCCACACCAAGTAAATTTTATGGATGACATCCTTTGGAGACCCTAAATCTAATGCGAGAGGGCGAAAAAAAACCAAGTATAGCCCTAAAAATCAAGATGCCTAGATTAGAAATGTACTAAGAGACGACAAATGTTAGGACACAAATTGAATGAGGTGACACAGTGTAACAAGCAAGAAGTCTTTTATTCATCATCAAAACAGCAATAAATCAGGTGGAACAGTGGACAGTGAAAACAGGATGGTAATAGACACTTTCTTCGCGTTACGGGGTTCACATCAATCTGAAGATTTGCGGCGCTGTCGTGACTCTTTGGTCACAGTTACAGGAAGCGGAATTTCTTGGTTTTTTTTTCTAGGAACATGTCAAAATCAATGCGCGTGAGGACGTCATCCATAAAATTTACTTGGTGTGGCCTTACAAATTACAGGCAGTGTGGCAGTCAGTGATGGATACAACTGACACCATTACAACTTTTAACAAGAGCTCATCAGCGCTCTTTTTAATTGTGGTTTTGAGAGAGCGAAGCACTGAAGAGGTAGACTCGACACCTCCAATCCAATTTCTCAAAGGCAATGTAATCATGGCCCTTCAGGGAGGTGACCTCTTCGCAGGCCTGTTTTTAATTGGATTTGCATCGGTTCTCCACAACTCGCCCGAAGCAGTAATTTCTGCACTAATCAAACTTTGAAAAGTAGTTGTCCCGAATTCTGAAATTTGCTCATCCCTGTAGTTTTAGAGAATATAAGGAGAGTTACATACAACCTTCTGAGTTAAAGCTGCATCATTCAACATTAGGATGATGCAAAAAAAAATTAATTTCTGGTCATTTCTTCACAAAGTAAGTTGAAACTTGTATGGTATCTCTCATTCTATCATGCTGACATACATGTGCATGTGTGTGTCCTGTGTTACAGATGGTCTGAGACATATCCTGTGTTCCACCGCCCTGCAGCAGCCTCCTACAGGAGACCCGTGTGTGGTGGAGAGACTCATGCTGGCAGACACTGCACTGTGGAAGAGTGAGTCTTCAAAAAATATGCAGAGTTCTAGTAGTGGCGTCGGGTGGCGTAGTGGTAGAGCATTAAGCCTCGGTCACAACCCGCTGTGCATGCTTTTTGTCCGTACGTTTTATTGGGAGGCCACGTCGGCTATGTTTTTCTGAAAACGTGGGGAAGGAGTGGCGTCAACGCATGTCACTCGCACGTCACTCGCAGGGTTGGGCAAGGTGTAAGAGTGTGGTCTGCACGCTACGTCTGGCCGTACTTGCACGCACAATGCACACGAGTGGTGAATCCGCAGACCGCCCGCAGAAAAATGTTATGGCGTGTCTGCGTGCTCCCAAATCCGTAGGATTCCATACGGAGGCGGTACTCACCACGCACGGATGCCCTACGTTTGCCCACATTTTGCAGGTAGACAGCACGCAGATGCACGTATGGCGGGTTCTAACTGAGGCTTTAGTGGTGGACTATGAAATCGATCCTGGGTTGTACCCGGTACATGTCTGGACATGCGCCCCGACGTTGTGCCCTTGGGAAAGGCACTTTACACGACTTTCCTCACTCCACCCAGGTGTGAATGGGTACCTAACTTCGGTTGGGGAAAGTCGTATTGACAATTGAGGTCACCTGGTGGCGCCGAATGGCAGCCGCACAGACCCTTGCGACAGTTCCACAAAAGTGTGTGGAGCAGATATGTTATATGTATCGTGTGTATTATGTTGTTGTAAACCCTGCATCAATTCAGCACTATAAAAGGCTGCGATTGCACTGGTAATGTTGGACCAATAAACCATTTTTAGTCAGCAGGAACTTTGTGGCATATGATGGAAATTTTTTGAAGCAAATCCATCAACCTTCATGGTCAAAATCAACAAAAGTCTTGGGCAAGAATATAAAAACTTCTAAAGGACTACAAATAACCACTCTCAACAGCATGACTTGCCTTTCAAAATGTGGGAAACTGCAGTTTTGAAGGCTTAAAAAACCTCAACAACCCCCCCAAAAAAGCGTCCGTTTTTCTGTCATGTGCTGGAAGTTTGCCACTCAAGATTAGTGCTGTGTACCGGTTGACTGGATCGGTTCCGGACTTGTAAAAATGTTTAGGTTCAAGTGAAAAAAAAAACAAAAAAAAAGACATGTCACATACCCCCTTTTGTTCCAAACCACCTAAAACCTCCCATAGATTGTGATGCAGAATGAAGAAAACATTGCCATCAGGCATTAATTTTTTTGTCAAGTGTTGGCCTCCATGTTGTATGGCTACAGTTTTGCCAATAGAACATTGCAAGGTTGCCAACATGAAGTTTTGTATATGCCATGGATTTAGAACTGAACCTAAACCTCTGGACCTGAATCTGGACCTGAACCTATAGTGTGGGTTTAGGTACACAGCACTACTCACAATGGACAAAATTTTGCCCAATTCGTCTTCTTTATTGCTACATGACAATGCTACACTTCGTTGTATCTAAGTTGTATCTGTTTCTCTCCCCAGCTGCTCGAGTCCAGTGTCACCAGATCATGATGGGCAGGTGAGAGGAGATGTGCTTCTTATTCAACCCCTGAACCAGTGTTCTAGCCACTGTCCATCTTGCCATGTTTTTATTTTGTGTAATTTTTTGTCCAGTTTGTTATCTTTGGACAGAAGCTGCGTGTAAAGATTTGGAAAGGGGATGTCATTAAACTTAGATAGCACATCGGAAGATCGTATTGCACCTACGCGATACCTGTAAATGTATTATGCATAGAATTTTGGCAGAACGTCTCATATAAGATCGTATTCGTACATATAAGGTTAGCGTTCTGTCGGTAGTTTCCAAATGTTGTGTTGGAAAAGATATTGTCTGCAACAGGCAAAATTCTGATGCAACGTAGGCCAAACATCTCACGAAAACCGTGAAAAATCAGGCTTTCACACAAGTGCAATACATTCTGCCGACGCGTTAGGCCACACCAATTTAATTTGTTGGTTTTCGGATTCGCCTCTTCATTTTTTTCTGATTTGCATTAAAAAAAAAGATTCTGGTTCTGAATCAACTCAAAAATGCTCATATTTTGCCCCCAACAGTTGTGGAAAGTCCTTTTCTTCCTAGCTGTTGCAGTGTTTCCATCTATCAATGCAGTGGTTTGGTTAAAAGTTCAAAATTCATTGTTTAAATATTAACACAACCTTTTGTGTTGACTTCATGGCTCCTATCATAGCATTTGGGGCTATAATAGGATGCCTAAACCTGTTTTTATTTTTATTTTTTTTCGCCCTGTCGCTTCATGTTTTTTCTGACAAAATCCGAGAACCAACAAATTAAATTGGTGTGACCTTAAGTTAAACTTAGATTTGCCCCTCAAAATGCAGGAAATAGCATTTCAGAGGGTCAAGATTTCTTGGTAAACATAATACACTACCTTCCAACATTTTCAGAAGTAAATTCTGAGCCCCTGTATAAAACAGGCAGTAATTATAAGCTTTGTTCATTAAAATGGTTTTTTTTGCACTTTTTGGCACTTCCAATATATGTAACTCCCTGTACAGGAGGTATTAAAAATGTAACAACTCAAAACCAATAACCTAACTGTAATTACCAGTATATGCTGATGATCTTTTAATGTTTAAGAGTGCTCCTTTACAATTGTTGTACAATATTTAGATGCCAATTTTCTCTCTCATGTAGCCTCCTAATGGACCAGGAGAGCAAGAAACAATTTTCTGTCCTATACACAAGGGTGAGTATTATTCTGTGTGAATTATTCTGTGGTAAATGACGTAATATTATCATAATTGTTTAACAAGTAGATGTGAATATAGAACTTTGCTCCATTGTATATGGGGCATGTTCCTTTGTTCCTTTCTTGGAAAGAATATCCATCTAGTCATCATCATCGGTTGGCTGCTGTGCAGGCGACTGCAAGATCCCTCCACTGCCCCTTGTCGCAAGCAAGGTTGGCGATCTGCTTCTCAGTTAGCTGGTTGTGCTCATCTCCCAGTAGTCGCTGGACATACTTGAAGTAGGAGGTAGGCTGTCGGCCTCGCCTGCGTCTGCCATGAGAGGGCACGTAGAGGGCGTGCAGTCTAACAGGTTCATCCTCAGGCATGCGCAGGATGTGTCCCAGAACGTTCAGCTGTCTCAGACGCACATGCTGAATCAGCGGACTAGTTTGGGTCAAGTTGTAAATGCTGTCGTTTGTTACCCGGTCACGCCTTTTGATGTTCAGCATAATACGGTAACACGAAGTAGCATCTAGTATGACCGTTACAAATGTTAGATAATTACTAGTATACAGTGTATACCAATATGAGGATTAATTTGATGTTTTTTTGTTCTAACAGAACTATGCCCAGGTGCAGAAAGACTTCATGGCTGATGACCATGACCACGGTGTGTCCATCATTTCCCTGTCTGTCCAGATCTTCACTGTCCCCACCCTGGTAAGTGAATGCATTTCACTTAATTATTTATTGAGTATTGGGCAAAAAGCACAAGTTGCTTATATACAATGTAACATCGACTACTCAAAACATAACTGATTGAAGTGAGGAAAGTGGTGTAAAGTGCCTTTCTTAAGGGCACAAGATCGGTGACAAGGTGGGGTTTGAACCCGGGACCTCTTGGTTCCGAGCCGAAGGCGCTACTGTTACACCCCACGTTGTAGATTTTTATTGGTTATCACCTGCGGGGCTTGAAATACTGGGTGCATGTGCACCTTAGTGCACCCAAATTTGGAGCTGTGCACCCAATTTTTTTCTGTGGGTGGCACGTATATGTCAGAATGATAGATTTAGTGTTACAGTTACTGTAGTACTAGTATTCAGCATATTCTTAACATCTAAGTGTCAGAAAAATAGTAAAATCATTCTAACTTGTAGTACTTTTCTTTAGGAACAAAACATAACTAATACTTAATTTTAATTAAAACATAATTTTGCTGATATTCTACTTATTTTGTCTTATATAGTGTACCTACAGAAAATTTTGTGCACCTAAATTTTTAGGTTGGGTGCACCAGTGCACCTATTCCGAAAAATGAATTTCGAGCCTTGCCTGTGTTCCAGGCGAGATACCTGATCATGGATCACGACCTGCTGGCCATCGTGATCCGGACGTTCCTGGAGCAGTGTGCCAGCTGCAGACACGGCAGGTATCTACTGGACAGGGAGAAGCTGCAGAAAAACTTCAGGAGGCTGCAGTTCCCACTCTTGGACCTCAAGTAAGCTCGGAAAAAATACAGTACTGTTATAACAAAATAAAAAAATACATAGAAAGGTAACATTTGCAAAGCAAGTGCATAATGTTTACCTTCACAGCGTGCAAAATACCTGGTTGCCCAGTTGTCTCAGGTAACCAAATTTTACTTGGGGCAACCTATTTTTGAACCTAGGTAGCCCAGTGTGCTACCTGAATTTTAAGAATGCCCCCCCCCCAAAAAAAATCATGCCCACTTGGCTTACACCACTGTATCCAGCAGATGCTTTTTAATTTTAGGTATTAATGGCTATTACTAGTATTAGATAACTAAAGGCTGTTAAAAGGATATTGTCAAAGGATTTTGTAACTATGTAACATTACTTAATTTGAGGAAACTAGTAACTTATAGATGGGGCAACCTAAAATTCTGATGGGCAACCTAATTTTTGCGGTAGGTTGCCCACCTGATTCAAAAAAGTATTTTCTACACTGCTTCATATGATCAAGCCTTCTAGCCTAACAAACTACTGCACTGTTTATTCTTGCTCTACTCAAACACATTAAATTTTATATATTGGTGACCAGCCCCTCCAACTCTGTTCTGCCACTTGCTACATAATGTAACCCAACACCACAGACTGAGATAGCAGCTGCCTGGTCCAAGAAGAAGGAGAAACAGAGCAAAACCAAATGAATATGTTTGCCTTCCTTGAAGGTAAACATAAAAAGTAAACTAGAGAAGTAACATTTGCAAAGCAAATGCATAATGTTTACCTTCGGACATGGTCTGCCCTGTTGATTTTTACTGAAACAAACATATTCACATACATGTACTACTAGTATATGGTGACAGGAGCAGAGCAGACCATGAAGTTTGCAACATTACGTAACCCAACACCAGTCACCATGGTTACAGATGTCAACAAATCATGTCATTGGCCAGGTCAGAGAGAAGAAGAGGAAGAGGAAATTGAGTAAAAACAATATGTTTTCCTTCGGTAAACATAATTATGACTAAAGTCAAAGAGTGCTTCTCTTATTCTTTTTTGACGTATGTTGCAGGTATGTGTTGTCCATGGTACCAGACGAGTGGAATGACCAGTTGAAGAAAAAGTTCTTGAACGGCTTCAAGATAATGGTGGAACTTCTTACCTCCATGCAGGTATGTTTAGGTCATGTGTTTATTATCAAAGTTTTGTTGTCATGCATCCTATTTTGATCAGTCCACTCACTGTTAAGCAGTGCCCCCTACCAAAGTATTATCAAACTGCATACATTCTACAAGACCTTAGTCACTGTTGTGTAACTTCTTGAGATGTTCTTATTGGCCCAGTGGATGCGCTCTGTGATATTATGATCAGTGTTTCAAGGTCACCTCAAGTCCCCCCGCTGTTATGGAGTCCCCCTACCAATGTATTATCAAACTACATAAGATCTGAGTTCATATTTATGTTGAAGATAGCCCAAGATGTGGACTCGGCATACTATTTCGATCCATACTTTTGAAAGATCATCTCAAGTCCCCCCCTGTGAAGCAGTGCCCCCTAGCAATATATTATCAAACTGCATCTGGCTATTGTGAATCTTGTTGAAGAGATGTTTCTGCTGGCCCAGGGCCAGGGCATGGGCTTTGTGACTTAGGAATACCACTAGTATTTTGTTCAATGTTTGAAAACGATCACCTCACCCCCTCACTGTTAATTAGTGCCCCCTGGCAATGTATGCTCAAACTGCATCTGACTTGTGAATGTTGTTGTCCCAGGGCATGGACACAGTGACTCGGCAGGTTGGCCAGCACATTGAGATGGAGCCTGAGTGGGAGTCGGCCTTCAACCTGCAGATCAAACTGGCCCCTGCCGTGGCCATGATGGCTGGCTGGTGTGCCACTGATGTGAGCCGGCACACACTTATTCTTACATTTCACATATTGCATGAACTATTTACGTCACAGGAAGACATTTCCAGAGTAGAACGTCATCCTAGAACTGGCTTTTGCTTGCATTGTCCCCCAGCAAATGTCAAAACGTGTGTAACTGTTTCTGAAAGGTCCTAACCTGCGCTAGTACAGTACCAGGGAAAGGGAGGGAAAGGGATGGTTCTTCAGTACCATATGGATGGTTCTTCAGTACCAGGGAAAGGGATGGTTCTTCTGTACCAGGGAAAGGGATGGTTCTTCAGTACCAGGGAAAGGGATGGTTCTTCAGTACCAGGGAAAGGGATGGTTCTTCAGTACCAGGGAAAGGGATGGTTCTTCAGTACCAGGGAAAGGGATGGTTCTTCAGTACCAGGGAAAGGGATGGTTCTTCAGTACCTGGGAAAGGGATGGTTCTTCAATACCAGGGAAAGGGATGGTTCTTCAGTACCAGGGAAAGGGATGGTTCTTCAGTACCAGGGAAGGGGGTGGTTCTTCAGTACTGGGGAAAGGGATGGTTCTTCAGTACCAGGGAAAGGGATGGTTCTTCAGTACCAGGGAAAGGGATGGTTCTTCAGTACCAGGGAAAGGGATGGTTCTTCAGTACCAGGGAAAGGGATGGTTCTTCAGTACCAGGGAAAGGGATGGTTCTTCAGTACCAGGGAAAGGGATGGTTCTTCAGTACCAGGGAAAGGGATGGTTCTTCAGTATCAGGGAAAGGGATGGTTCTTCAGTACCAGGGAAAGGGATGGTTCTTCAGTACCAGGAATGGTCTGTTAGTACCAGTACCATAGAGAAAATCACCTCTTGATGTCAAGAAGGCCTTAGGTATCTTCATCATTTTTCAGTAGTAAGTAGTGTAGCTTTTTTTCACCCATCTGAATGTTTGTTGCAGAAAATGGTGCTGATAGATGCTTTCAGAACTGCAGTGAAAGCTCTGCTGGAAATCAGAGGCACCCCGGACACAGTCAAGATGTGCAAGAGAAGAGGTAAGATTGTGAAGACAGAGTTATGATAAGATAATACCACGGGGCTTGAAATACCCACATTTTGGGTACCAAAAACATAGGGATTCCTGACATCGCTTGTTTTTTGGCCATTTCAAATGCTTCAAGAATGAAATGACAACGGAAATGTTCTAAGAAATGACAGTAGATGTCAATATCAGACATATGTCCTCGTTCAGAATATTTCCTGTTTTGCTGCCCTGAAAGGTCATTTTTGATGCCTTCAATCTCAAGTTACTGTACCAGTTGCTGAGCCCACATGTGTCTCTCTACAGTTTGTGATCATGAAGCCATAGTTGTGGACTACACTGTGTCCAGAGAACCTGTCAGTATCCACCTTCCCATCTGCAGACTTCTCGCAGGTATGGTTCTACTTCAGTTAGTATTCTTTACTGGTGTATCTCATAGAGCTGTGTATACCTAAGCAAATTTTAGGTACAGGTACATTTGTTTATAAACATCTGTACCTGTACCTGTACATTAACAAGTCAACAAATTATAATTTTTCTTCTGAACTTCTCCGTAAGGCCACAGCAAGTAAATTTTATGGATGACAATCATCCTCCGTAGACTTCAAATCTAATGATAGAGCGAAAAAAAATGAGGTGGGCCAAAAAAACAAGATTCCTAGTTTTTTTACATATTCAAATGTTGACATCAGAAACCTTAAGCAAGAAATAATGATTACTTAATATAATAGTTATATTGTGCTACGTTTACTGCCAACTACATGTATTATTATACATCTATTTCTCACGGAAACAACTTAGAAAAATAAAAGTTTTCAATCATTGTACAAATAGTTTTGATTCAGTGGGAAAATCACATATACACAGCCACCACCACATATATTATAAAGGAACTGAAATACTTTACTGCATCAAAGTAAACGACAAAACATTAAATCAGAGCTTTATCTTGTCTCCTCTCTTCATATTCATATGCCATCCACGTTACGGCATGTCAACAGACATCTCTGCCCATTTTTGGCATGTTGACCACTGTCAGAAGGCAACTAAATTTCTTGCTTTTTTTCCAAAATCAGGTGAAAAGCAATGTGCATGCTGGTGTCATCCATATAAATACTTGCTGTGGCCCAACTAAGAGTAAATCCTGACATAGCCGCTTGTTAGGGAATGTTTACTCCCAGGAGATGTTGAAACACATAGGGAGCATCCTTGTGAAACAACCATCTAGTATTCACTTCAAGAGGGGTTTAGTGAGCATCTATAAGTTTCACTGCCGTACAGTAAGAATCTCAATCACGTGACAAGAGAACTCCAAGACGAGATCTTAACTGGGTTGAAGAAGAGACAAGCTCGAAAGCTCCCCAGCTGAACTTTTGTTGTGTGTTTCTGTATAAATATTTTGTCAAAAAAATCTGGATCTTATTCCGTTCCCTCAGGACTGTACCTCCAGTTGGGGAGACATGGTCTGACGTTCAACTCTCCCGAGCTCTACGGACCTCTGGTAACCAGTTCAGCAGGTCGACAGAACGCACCGCGCCTGCGCGAAACCCGGATCAGACAAACTACAACACGTACAAACCCGTCAAAAGCCCCCGTCATATGTGGCCTTCCCACCTTCATGGTTTTTGTTGGAAATTTGGTAAACATTGCCCACTGCAGGCGAAATCTTTTCCGACATAACATTTGAAAACTACAGGCATGTCATTCTTAAATACGGGAATGAGGCGTGTGCTATGCACATTATGGGTTTCGCGCAGGCGCAGTATGTTCTGCTGAAGTGCTACATAGACCGATACTGACTGTCCATCACAATTAGCAGTTCAACCAATGATAGCATGGCAATTAGCAGTTTTACCAATGACAGAGTGGCTGTATATAGAAATTTGCATTTGCATATTATTTTTTGTGTGAATTTGTTTGGCATGTGTGTGTGCATTTATGTTTTGTCTGTGGATGTGTATGGATCATTGCCTTGTACAATATACTGTACAGAACTCGATTAACTTCTCTGCTCAAGGGTTTTACATGCATTTTATCTTCTTTATTTTTTTATTAAAGTTGTGTATATCACGTTTAAATCACAATTAAAAGCCATATACATGCATTGTAACATCCGTGTCCATAATATCACCAGGGTCCATAATATCGCCACCTTGAGAAAAAGTGTGCTTAAAGATATTTTTACTGCAACATACCCTAGGTATGTACATTTGATGTGTGAAGGAGTGCATACCAAAAGTATGTTGCAGTAAAAATATCTTGAAGCACACTGTTTCTCAAGGTGGCGATATTATGGACCCTGGTGATATTATGGACCCTGGTGATATTATGGACACAGATGTTACATGATAAATGAGCATGATTGAAACAAAAAGTGCACAAACATTGTTAGCTTTTGGATGGCTTTTGCACACATTTCAATCAAGAAGTGCACGTCTTTTCATCACGTTTCGCCCAACTTTCTAGTTATTCGAGATCTGTACTCCGTGAGTAGTTTTATCAGGTTGGTAAGTCACTGAATTCAGCAACTCTTTCTACACAACCTAGTGTTTTATTCAGCTGATGTTTCGATGACCATCTGTCACCTTCCTCAGGGCGTTAAATGATAATCATGTAATAATTTATATATTACACTACTGTACATTTGGGACTGTGTTGTAGATACTGTTACTGTTTTTTTTCTTCTTTATTTGACAATGGTTATGTTACATACAGGGTTTTTTCTAGAAAAATTTAGCATGAGGGAGCAGATCGCAAGCATGACAAGGAACGAAGCGACCGAGGGGGGATTTTTTAAAAAGTAGCCACTTAGGGTTCAATCTGAAAATTTATATGAGGGAGTTGGCTGGTTACATGAGGGAGCAGCTCCCTTATTCCCCTGTTTAGAAAAAACCCTGCAATGTGTACATGTATATCACACTCCTGTACATTTGGGACTGTATTGCAGATACCATTCCCTGTAACCGTATAGATATGTAAATATTTTGCATTTGGTTTGCATCTATTACAGCGACACTTGCGCTGTCCAATGTGAACCAGTCAGAATTTTCCTGAGGAAGGTGACAGAAGGTTACGAAAACGTCGGTTGAAAAAAACACTTGGTTGTGTAAAAATCTCTAACTTCATTCAGTACTGTATACCTTCAACTAGTGCTGTGTACCGGTTTGCTGGACTTGTAAAAATGTTTAGGTTCAAGTCCAAAAAAAACCTAAAAGTCAAGAACCGACTTGTTAATAAAAAAACATGTCACATACCTTTTTTCTTTCCAAACCACCTAAAACCTTCCAAAATTGCAAAATCTGTGCTGCAAAATGAAAAAAAAACATTGCCTTCGGGCATCGTCAAGTGTCGTCCTCCGTGTTACATGTTATGTGGCCGAAGTTTTGTCCAAACAACATTGCAAGGTTTCCAACATGCAATTTTGTATATGCCATGGGTTTAGGTCCAGACTTACGAGTCCGGAACTGAACCTAAACCTCTGGAGTTTGAATCCGGACCTGAACCTAAATGTGGGTTTAGGTACACAGCACTACCTTCAACACAATAATGGGTTTTTGATTGCATTAGTTGAGTGTGTTATGGAAGCTCTAGCAGATGGCATTTCTTGTTCTAACTTTGTTGTCTCTGTTATCAGCAACCCCCCAGTGCTATGGACTTGCTGGAGAAGCCATTGAGAACCTTGGTCATGATAGCACAGGTGCACGCTGAGATGTGGAAAAGAAATGGATACTCATTGTTTCACCAGGTAAGAAGACTTTCTCAGTGCTTGCTAACTTGCTTCAGTGGTAAGCCAAACTTTTAATTTTAAAATTTTATGGATGACATCAGCGCGCGCAGTGATTTTCGCCTGTTGTCAAAAAAAAAAGAAAGAAAGAAAGAAAGAAAAGATCACGTCCTTTGAGGCTCTGGTCTGGCTCTAGGCCTGGGTAGTATACGGCAGCCATGGTGGTAACTCTGGAGGACGGCACCCAGGCTACCGAAACTCCACGACTCAAGAACTCAGTACATACCATACGTACAGTGCCGATTCATAAATTCCACAAAAAAGCTGGCATGTGCCGGCTTGTCGTAGATGTCGCTATGTACTGCCGCAAATTCACAAAACCAGCTTTGCCTGCGTGCACTAGTTTGGGGGTCTTCAGAGGATGTCATCCATAAAATTTATTGTGGCCTGGCTAACCAAAAAAAAAGGGAAAGGGATGGTTCTTCAGAACCAGGCAAAGGGATGGTTCTTCAGTACCAGGGAAAGGGATGGTTCTTCAGTACCAAGGCAAGGGGTGGTTTCTTCAGTACCAAGGCAAGGGATGGTTCTTCAGTACCAGGGAAAGGGATGCTTCTTCAGTACCAAGGCAAGGGATGGTTCTTCAGTACCAGGGAAAGGGATGGTTCTTCAGTACTAGGGAAAGGGATGTTTCTTCAGTACCAGGAAAAGGGATGGTTCTTCAGTACAAGGGAAAGGGATGGTTCTTTAGCACCAGGAAAAGGGATGGTTCTTCAGTACTAGGGAAAGGGGCGGTTCTTCAGTACCAGGGAAAGGGATGGTTCTTCTGTACCAGGGAAAGGGATGGTTCTTCAGTACCAGGGAAAGGGATGGTTCTTTAGCACCAGGAAAAGGGATGGTTCTTCAGTACTAGGGAAAGGGATGGTTCTTCAGTACCAGGGAAAGGGATGGTTCTTTAGTACCAGAGAAAGGGATGGTTCTTTAGCACCAGGAAAAGGGATGGTTCTTCAGTACCAGGGAAAGGGATGGTTCTTCAGCACTAGGGAAGTGATGGTTCTTCAGTACTAGGGAAAGGGATGGTTCTTCAGTACCAGGGAAAGGGATGGTTCTTCAGTACCAGGGAAAGGGATGGTTCTTCAGTACCAGGGAAAGGGATGGTTCTTCAGTACCAGTTAAAGGGGTGGTTCTTCAGTACCAGGGAAAGAGATGGTTGTTCTTCAGTACTAAGAAAAGGGATGGTTCTTCAGTACCAAGGAGAAAGACGGTACCTGGGTTAAGAAATTCAATGTTTTTTAGTACCAGGGAAAATGATATTTCATCAGTACTAGCATTACGTTGTCAGGTACTTGACACTGTTTATATTTTGCACAGGTATACTACTACCACAACGTCAGATGTCGGGCAGAAATGCAGGATAAGGACATCATCATGCTACAGGCAAGTCTCAAGCATTTCTTCAAGACACTGTCACACATTCAGGACCTTCCCACGACATGTAGATGTTTGTGTAATTGGCATATGTGTTAGGCCCAAAAAGTTTGTTGTGTTTCCAGTTTCAGTCCTTAAAAGTTCAGGTTGGTAGGTAGGGATTATCTTTTTTTTTTCTTTCTTCCTTTTTTTAGACTTTGGCAATGTCTAGTGATCCAACTGATACAGTACAGTTTAACAAATTATAGTAAAACTTGCATGAGGACACTTTCCTTTTTCAATGTCAATGTTGGATAACCAATTGTACAACGTTTCATCACTCAGGTGTCAGATCATCAATCAGCTCAAAAAATTCATGTACCTTGCACCCAAAAAAAGACTAGGGTCGGCATTTTTTTCTAGGGTTGAGCAGGAAACAGGAAACACATATTTTTTCACTAGAAAGGCCAATATTTGCTTTGGAGCAAATACAGCGATGGGTTCACCACATTTTACGACGTGGCAGGGAAAGAATGAGAAACACAAGGGAAAACAATGATTTACATTGATATAACTATCTCCGTTGGGTTAAGGCGGCCTAGGCTGATATTCATGTTCGAGTTGGGGCGTGTGTCTGCACGATGGCCACAGACTTGTTTAGAACCCGAATCTTGTTCCACCATGTTCGATATGACGTCATTCAAATAGAACGCGTGTTCGAATTCGGGGTTACCGGCGGTCATTTGTATGTTTCCCCTGTAAACCCGCGTTGTTACGCATTTTACTCACAGAGTATGACTTAAACGGCTTTACGCGCAGCTGAAAACAGCATAATTGATCTTTAGAGTAATCCACGTTTTCGTATTATCACTTTTTTATCAAAATTGTCCGAGGCTATTTTGCATATAAGTCGATATTTTTTAACTGTGGCAATTTTTTAACGAAAAATGACAGAAAAATAGCTGTTTCTGTCGTTTTTGGCCCGAAAAAACAATGTAACTGTCATTTAAAACAAAATAGCCTCGGACAAAAATAATAAATAGGGGGTTGGCTTTCTATTTGTAAAATATCATGATGAAAGGTCTTGTTACCGCTTGCGCGTAAAGCCATGAAGTAAACAGCTTTTTTTAACCAAAATGTTGATTTTTAACCCAAAAATCCAGAAGTAGTAAAAACAAAATAACCTTTATTCAATGTGTTTTAAGTACTACTAGAACTCTGTGAAGTTTAGTTGTGGTGCGACCAAGCTATCAAAAGTTACAGGCATATGTATGAAATACTACTCATAGTATGCCGTAGGCTGCCTTAACCCAACCGAGATAATATGAAGTAACATACAACTAAAACAACAGTTGGATAGCTATTCCCTACATTATTGGTTAGGATTTTTAATTGCATAATGCAAACTGTTGATTTTCAAAATAAATAAAAAAACGTTCATGCCCCGCATTCCAATGCTGGAGCAGAAAAGCTTGAAATACCTACCAAAACACTTGAATAAAGACATACTGTCAGTATGGAAATGCTCTGTGCAGGTGTTAATCAAGTTAAATCCCAACAGCCAATCAGCAAGAAATGCTCTGTGCAGGTGGAAATGCTCTGTGCAGGTGTTAATCAAGTTAAATCCCAACAGCCAATCAGCAAGAAGTATAGAGGAAAGCTGCATGCCTATTGGTTGATGCCCTGCATTCCATTGTGATGACTCATGCCCAGACGTGGTAAACACGGCACACTAACACAGTAATACATTTGCTATAACACAGCCAAAAAACTCAAATAAAACCATTCTAAAAGCCTGTATCACAAAAATTTAAAAAACGCCTAGGGGTATTTGCCCACTGTACCTCCATACCAAATTTCAGGACCTTAGGCCCTAAAATGAAGAAGCTGAATCCATTTAAAAAATGGCAGGAGGAGAAGGAGGAGGAGGAGGAGGAGGAGAAGAAACACCAGAAAAAGCAATATGGGTTCACCACCACTTCGTGGTGTGGTGAACCCATAATTAGGCCTTATAGATAGCCACATGCAATTTAGTTGTAGCTACATGTAATCAGTGCATGGTTTTTGCATGAGTTTTACCTGTGCATTAGCAGCTTTTAAGCATATTTTGATCACAATTTAAATGCGATTCACACGACTTTTGCATGAGAAATAAACAAGAATAAGTTAAAACCGTGTGTAACAATGTATGGGAGGGAATTTCAAAGTGGGTCGAGATCTGTACTGGAATTTGTGAAATGTTTCTGTGAGTTTTTGAGTTTTATTCAGATCCACAATTAGCCTCATAAGAGGCTATTCTTCCTGTGGTCTACACATTCATATTTACACACATGTATTACAAACGTACAAAAACATTACAAAATTAACAGTACATAGCAAACTTCACACAATTCACTATTTACAATCCAGTACTTTGCTAGTTGCCACCTATGTTATTCCACAACAGTCTGTTACATCCTGTACATAAAGCGCTTTTTCTGAGAGTTTGGTTTTGGTAGTCTGATTTTGTTTGTGCTGGTTCGAACGTGTTCGGTACTTGTGAATCTCAGATTGGAATGTGATTTTGAGTAAGTAACATAGACATCTGTTTACAGGTGGCCTGTGCACAGATGGACCCCAACCAGTTCCTGATAGCACTCCTCAACAAGTTTGAGCTGATGAACTGGATCGAGTATGTCAAATTCCACTTTGTGGTGTTGTGTTTCAATCTGCATGTCTGTGCTCTCAAAATGGGATAGGAAGAAAAATGTGTATTGCGGCGTACAATGCGATTTCAGTGCTGCAAAGCAAAACAAACATTCTGGAAGAGGAAATCTGTCTGATATTGACATTTGCTGACATTTCTTGGCACTTGAAAAAATTTATGTCATCATTCATACTTGAAACGTTTGAAATAGCCCCAAAACAGCACGTCGGCAGAACGTACTGCGCCTGCGCAGAACCCCGGATTTTCGTTTTTTGTTGGATTTTTGGTCAACGTTGCATCAGAATTTTGCCTGTTGCAGAGGATACCCTTTCCTACACAACATTTGGAAACTACTGTCGAAATGCTAACCTTATATGAGCGAATACGACCTTATATGAGACGTTCTGCCAAAGTGCTATGTACAATACTGGGTTTTGCGAAGGTGCGGTACGTTCTGCCGACGTGCTCCCCAAAACAAGCTATTTCAAGAGTCCCTTACTTTTTAGTACCACAAAACACCCTATGGTACGAAACAGCCCATCATTTCTCTTCGACGACATCACATTTTTCCTACACAGATATCAGTATGCTATGGGATAGGATTGATTCAACTTACTACATTGAATAGAAAGAATGACCAGAAAATTGACTTTGAAAATCCAGTTTTACTGCCCTGAAATTGAATTGGGTGCCCAATGTTCAGGTACAGTTACAGTATATTTCTGCAGTAGTAAATTGTTATCTTTGTATGATGTATTATTTTAATCTAGAAAGAAGAGCATTTCAGATTGTCAAGTGCTATACATGTAGTGCCATTATGTGATCAACATGTATCATGTTAATGATATGGTACAGTTTCCAAATTTTAATATGTTCGTGTCATTTTCTTCATAAAGTAAAGTCTTGTTTGTCATATGTGATGTATTTTGAATGGGAAATTTTTTCCTCAAAAAAAAAATGTAATCATTATTATATTATTGCTGATATTGCTGTATCTTCTGTCTCTGTCCCGTCTAGGGGAGACTTTGATGACTTTATTCGGTTATTCTTTTATGGTCGAAGGAGGTAACCCCAAACCTCAACTCCATCTTCATCTCTGATTGGTTCATTTCTGGTCTTTGTCTTCCTCTCATGATCACAAGTGTTGTATAATTCATTGTTTTAGTACCAGGGCTCAAAATACCACCTGCATAATGCAGGTTAGTGTATTGCCAAGTAAAATTGGAGCTGTGCAGGTATTTCTGATGTCTACCTGCACCTAACCCGCACTGGTCCATGTACTGGGTATATGCAGGTTAGTACAGGTAAAATTGGAGCTGTGCAGGTATTTCTGATATCTACCTGCACCTAACCTGCACCGGTCCATGTACTGGGCATGTATTATTACCACCTTTGAAGTGTAAGAGAAACAATAGCAATGGTTTCTGAACAGTCTTTAGTATGATCTGTACACCTTCAATTCTTATTGATGCACGTAAAATTTGCGTGGTGCAAGTAAATTTCAGTGCACCAGACAAATTTCTGTAGGAATGCAGAAAAAAAGTATTTTGAGCCCTGAGTACGTAGTGTTATCAGTATGTATGTGCTTTCTGTGGGCATTCTCTTAAAAACCATTACAGCTGTCTACAAAGACTTGTAATTTTCATTTCTTCTCAGGGATGTGACGGAGAAAGGCAGCTCTGCCACAGATGTGAGTGCAGAAAGTACTAGGGTGTGTCATGCTGACATTGCTTTTACACAGCACATTAAATTTTGCAGAACGTACTGCGCCTGTGTGAAACCATTTTTAGGCCACACCAATTTAATTTCTTGGTTAACGGATTTTTCAAGAAAAATGATGGAGCGGGCGAGCGAAAAAAAAATGAGAATAAAAACAGGCCTAGGCATCCTATTATGGCCCAAAATGGTACGATATAAGCCATGAAGTCAACACATCAGGCTGGTTCAAAATTTAAACAATGAATTTTGAACTTTTAATGATAGCACTGCATTGAAGGATGGAATAACTGTAACAACTATAAAAAGAAAAAAAAGGACTGTTTTCAACTGTTCAGGGCAAAATTTGAGCATTTTGCAGTTCATTTTGAATTTTTTTTTGCAAATCAGAAGAAAATGAAGCGGGCAAATCCGTTAACCAAGAAATTAAATTGGTGTGGCCTTAGTGGTTTTCATCGGATGTTTGGTCAATGTTGCATCCGAATTTTGCCTGTCAGAGACAAAATATCTTTTCCAACACAGGATTTGAAAATTATAGATGGGATGTTGTCCTTAAATATGCAAACATGACAATGAAAATGCTATATGTACAATACATTTTGGAGTTTTGCGCAGGTGCTGTATGTTCTGCTGACATGCTCTTACATGTACATGCAATCAATGAGTAACCAAAGAATCGACAATTTATTCAACGATTTTCATACATGTAGATCAAGAATTTCTTAACGTTTGATTTGTTTTGTTGTCTTCTAAATCAAACTTTGTATGTAAAGCTGAATTTGTAGTAAGCTGACTGTTCTCTCTCACTTTAGGACCTTCTAAGGTTCACCAATAGCTTAGTGGAAGAGTTCCTCAACCTACTCATTATAATCATGGGTGAGTAGCGTACAATGTAAATCTGACTGCAATGTTCTAGCCAGCATCTGTCTTACAGAATTTTTCTTCTCATGTTGGACGAAAATTGAACACTGGAATATTAATTTATCTGTACATTCACTCCCTGAAACTGTAGGTACCAAAATATAGCCCTCAAGTCAGTATTTCAATTCTATTTTAATATTTAGCATTTATTATTTATTTGTTTAAGATCTCGGAACAGATAAACAAACTTGGTGTGGCCTTACATTCATCCTCAGACAAAATACGTTGTTAGTGTGCAGCTGTCATGTTTTTGCATGATATCTTGATGTATTTTTGTCGTCTGAAAAATTGATTGGTTAACGAAAAATTCTATGCATTGTACTTGTTGTACATGTACCTACAGTTGTATCCATGGCCGTGTTTATGTGAAGTCACCCAAGGCGCTTTACATGTGGTTTGCCCCGAAGCCGGTTTCAAGTGGCTCCATCTGAACGCTCCAAATCACATTGAAAGCGCCTCAATCCCAAACCACTTCTGGAGGTGGTTTCGAATCGGTTTTCCTGCATCGCGATTTGCGTCTGAACGCAATGTGATTTCAATGTGACTTCACCCGGTCATGGACTACGGGGTGATATTTCTTTATTTATATGCAATGCCAAATTTTACGTGGCTGCAACTTAAAGAGCAGCAATGGTCAAATAATATGTCCGTTGTAAGGCGAGCTTCACCGCCTCTGGCGGGACCACGTCGGCATTCAGCTGAGATACGCTGGGAGGGGGGCACCAGCAAGCAGGTCGTTGACCTCTGACATTAATAACACGCTACCTTGCGAGTTTTCATCAAACAACAATAAATGTAGCTCAGGCGAATTGTGATCGGACACGGTTTGAAAGGAATGTTTGGCACGTGGACCAGATGTGAGGAATTGGACTTACCTGAATCGTGGTTTGGGTGACTTCACATAAACACGGCCTCTGACTCAGGTGTGTTGTATGTGTCCTTATCCAGGTGAGAGGTACGTACCAGGTGTTGGACAGGTGTGTTCAGAGGACATGGTGAAGAGAGAGGTGATCCACCAGCTGTGTATCAGCCCCATGGCACACAGTGATCTCTCCAAGGCCCTGCCTGAAAACGTAAGCAAACATCATTGTAACCGAACAGAGTATTCATGGCAGACCCCGTGTCTGTAACAGGTATAGAAAGTATACATGTACAGTGTAGTACAGACTAAATTCTTGAAGACTGGTTAGAAAGTCTCAAATGAGTGTACATTGTGATTGTGGTATACATTTTCTAGAATACAACACGGTGTATTCCGTATTACCCAAGGTACCAGCCTGACTGCGGGTCAGATTGATCCAACATGCGGGAGGGCTGGGACTGAGGGTAATGCTGAATACACCGCGTGTTGTATTTTATTTAATATGCTATACCCACCCAAGAAAACATGCCTTTCAATGTGAAATGTGCCAAAATTTTGTGTCAACGTCAATTCCAATGTCCCAATCCGGTATTCAAATTTTCGAAGGCGGCACACGCCGCTTAGGCGAAACGTGTTCGAATTATTCTATGGAACATTTAGAAGCCTGACTGTGTGATAACAAAAGAGAACCCCAGGCTGTCTTGTAAGTTATCACACGGGCCGGAACACTTGTATCAAACGGGTATGACATAAAAGGCAATATTGGCTTTGAGTTTGTATGATTTGTATTGTGACAAATTTCCAGTTCTGGTATAAACTGTCCCACAATAAGTCATTAGTAATACGTAATTGGCTTACTGTACATGCAAATATCATTCTGTGAACAGTTTTATCAGGTTGGTTCATGTAAGTCACTAAATAAAGAGCGTTTTATCATACAACCAAGTCTTTTATTCAGCCCATGTTTCGGTGACCATCTGTCACCTTCCTCAGGGCAATGGACCTATACCATTATTACGTCACAGTTTGTTTACCGCAATAAATGCCGGTCAATCGACGTTTATATTGTACAGGGGTGCGTAGCGCGTTGTGTGTTTGTGTAGCGTTAGCCTAATATAAGGCTTTTAATACAGTACTATTTTCGTCTAATGTCACAACTAAATCACCCATTACGGCATGTAATGCTGTGTCAACACAACTACATGTAGACGCAGCAAAAATCAGACATACCTTACTTTGAAAACTTTGAAATGATCTTTATTCTTTAACTGATCGTTCTAGAATGTTCTTTAGAACAGGTAAACAAACTGTGACGTAATAATCGTATAGGTCCATTATGACTGGTGAATAAAACCCTTAGTTGCTTGTGTAAAAGAGTTTTTTTCATTTATTGAAAATGTTCAATCTTCATAATCTGCCTATGACTTTCAGCATAAGCATGAGACTGGCATGGAAGCAGTCATGTCTGATGTGTCCACGTTCAAGTAAGTCAACATGTCTGCTTTGGGAAACTGTTTTTCAGAATAATTATGAAACTGGTTTGGAAGGTGTGGTGCACACAGTCGCTTCATTCAAGTAAGTAGAACAAAATATCCTCCAAATTGTCATCAGTGCATGTTTTGTCGTTCCTTTCTAACTTTGGTGATTGTGACAGTGTTTAATTCCATATCGAGGACTTGGACCATGGATACCAACTCGGTTCATGGCAAATTTGGACAACTCAGCCCAACACCCTGGTCAACTCAGCCCAAAGCACTGGTCAAGTTGACCCAATTAAGACCCCAGGCCAGATACATCGTGGACCAAAAAAATGAAAAGCAGTGTACAACGTTCTTTCATAATATGACATAAAAATTGTTACAGTTTTGTCAGACATTAGTTGTAACTGTTGACTTTGAGGTTTTTGAAGTCCCAAACCACTGGCTTTGATAGAGACCTTTGCATTTGCTAGACATCTTAAACCAGTTGACTAAATGTTTTTGAAGTCCCAAACCGCCTTTGTTCTTATAGAATAGTTGCATGTAGTTCTTGATGTTAACTAAATTTGTAAAAAAAAAATGAAAATAGACATTTTTGCCCACTGCATGTGCAAAGACGATGAGTGCAAAGAAGACTGTGTGCTTCTGCCTATAAATTGCTGTCTCCGGTATATTGGGACAAGTTGACCAGGGTGTTGGGCCTTCTTGACTGGGCTGACTTGACCAGGCAGTTGGGCTGAGTTAAATGGGCTGTGTTGGTAATGGTCCAAGTTGTCCGGACTATTGTTCAATTCTGCACCTGGTCCAGTTTATTTTGTCCAGTGGAAACTTTTGCAATCTTTTTTTTTGTCCCTGTTAATTTTTTATGTTCGCTACACCTTTTGCTTAACCAGTGCTTGTTGTTTCTGTTGCACTTATCGTTTTGCGTCGCAATATTCAGGAAGCTAACAATATTATTATTAACATTGATTTCAATGTTGTTCCCAGTACTAGTAAAACCAATAAAATGGTTGAGTGCATGAAATCTTTGATATACATAAGCACATTGTAAATTCTTATATTTTTCTCACGTTATTTTGAAAGCTGACCAATGGCAACATGGTTAATCTTAACCCTAATTTCAATGTATATTTAACCAATGGCAGAATGGCTCTTGAACGAACCCTAACCAATAGCAGCGTGGCTCTAGATCTTGAGCCCTAAGTAGTCACCAATGGCAGTATGCCTCTAACTTGATTGTGGCTTTACCAACAATATTCCCGGCCAAACGTACCTCTGTGCTACATGTATCTCCTGTGTGATGTGGGATGTACAATGTACCATCTCTTTATTCTGTAGGAAACCAGGGGTGACTGGTATGGGTCGCTATGAACTGAAGGCAGAGTTCTACAAGGACTACAATCCGTTCTTCTACCACTACACCAGGGCCGACCAGTCCAAGGTAAGGGTTCGATATGTCAAGATATATATATAATTATATATATAGTAGGGGGATAAATCTCTTTGAGTACTCAAGAGGACATTTGAGATCTCATCACAAAGGACAAGTCCAAAAGAGAGCTGGAAGAGATCTATCCCATTAGAAGAGACTCCAAAGAGAACTGCTGTTACAGTAGATTCCTTCTTGACACCTGAGGTTGGACCCCCTCAGATGCAATCAATTGTTTTGAACAATAGATAATTAAATGGGGATTAGCGTCTAACCCTAACAATGACATAAAAACAACAACATGGCAGCCATGTTTTCACAGGTGATTTTGAAAGAGACTTTTCAAACAATGGAAAATTATGTAAGAAAACAGTTTTAAAAAAGAGACTTGTAAGAGACTGGAAGAGATCTGAGATAGAATTTGGGAGAACAATGCCTAATCCAAAGAGATCTGCTGTTTTCTCAATTGTCCGCTAGAGTACTCAAAGAGATTTATCTCTCTACTAGCTTTTAGTCATTCTGTAATCATATATTTTGAAACCTTACCCCAGTAATGTTGCTTAATGTCACCCTAACAGAATTAGCGGTTTGAACTATGCATGACATTGTAGAAGGTTAAAGGTAAAGGCCCCTACCTTGTAAACAGTTCTTGTCTAGACCATGCTTGATACAGATGTGCAGATGTGTTTTGTTTATGTCACAGAGGCCTTTTTTAAATTATAGACGGGTTTATTGTAAGTTGTTGAACAAATAAATCCCAGGACCCACTGGCAGCCTACATTGATGCATTTGTCTGAATTGTTGGGTCTGGTTACAAATTACAAAATTATTACAATATTTGTATTACAAAATTAATGCAACACACAGCTGTTTACACACATAGGGATAGAAATAATGTAACAATTGTTCAAAATCTTAAAAACACCATGATACTAGTATTACAAATATTTAAATATCTCAAAAGAGTAATTTATCAAAAGGTTGTTAAAAATGCTACAGTTAAGATAAAATTTGATATGCCCTCATTGCTACTACTTACTAGTACTCAAATTTTGCAGACTCGCTCAAAATTAACAGTTACGGTGGCCGAAAAGGTGTTAAACCGGTTTGTTAAGAGTTGCTTTGACATGTTGAGTTCAACTTTAAACTTTCATGTAGACATATTAACCACAAAGTGTTGACATTGTGACTGGTTTCCTGCTACAGTCAGAAGAAGCTCAGTTGAAGAGGAAAAAGCAAGAAGGAGAAAGTACTGGTAAGTAATGGAGGTTTGAAATTAGCATTTATTTTTTAACTTTATTGCAAACTTTATTGCAATTAGTAGTAATATTAGTGGTAGTAGTGGTAGTATCCATGTGTTCATCGGATAAGAAAATATGTGGATGGTTTCTCTCAAAGCCTCAAGTAATCATAAGAGCCAAAAATATGGTAACCATGACTGATCCCATAGCCCAGCTCACCTCCTTCTAAACACAGAAATATTTGACAGGCATGCAGCCACTCCATCATTGGTCAAACTACTAAATTGCCTTGCTATCATTGGTTGAATTGCTAAATTATGATGGACATCTTTGCCCCTGCTGCAGCCCGCCCTCCGCCGGAGATGCCTGCCCTGAGTAAGGAGTTCAGCAGACATGCAGCCACTCTCTCATTGGTCAAACTGCTAATTGCCTTGCTATCATTGGTTGAACTGCTAATTATGATGGACATTTCTGCCTATCCTCCAGCCTGCCCTTCCCCGGAGATGCCTGCCCTGAGTAAGGAGTTCAGCTGACATGCAGCCACTCTCTCATTGGTCAAACTACTAATTGCCTTGCTATCATTGGTTGAACTGCTAATTATGATGGACATCTTTGCCCCTCCTCCAGCCTGCCCTCCTCCTGAGATGCCTGCCCTGAGTAAGGAGTTCAGCTGACATGCAGCCACTCCCTCATTGGTCAAACTACTAATTGCCTTGCTATCATTGGTTGAACTGCTAATTATGATGGACATCTTTGCCCCTCCTCCAGCCTGCCCTCCGCCGGAGATGCCTGCCCTGAGTAAGGAGTTCAGCAGCCTGGTGAATGTCCTGGAGTGTGATGTGTTCGTCCACACCATTCGGACAGTCTTCCGTAGGGTCAACTCTTCCAGGTCCAGGTCATGGACAGAGGCCATGGTGCATAGGGTGGGTGAACTTTTTCAGTGGCCTTCTCACAATCATTGCAGCAGCGTAATTTGCAATCATTGCAGCAGCAAATGCAATTGGAATAGCAATGGGCCCAGAATACTCCCTTGCGGCACCCCCATATGCATGTGACAGAACACAGTTGTATGAAAGGACAACCCCCAGAGTCTCTGATGCACGTATATATACAAAGTAGTGTGGACAAAATTCTTCAAGCCTTGTGTGAGAGGTAGCCAGGAGTAAACTGTGCTGTGTGATATAGAAATACATGGGCCTTTATTAATCAGACCATATGATTTGGATTGTAAAGTTTTTCCTGTTTGACTGTGTATACCAGTGTGAGTCGACTGCAGTTTTATCAAATTGTTTAAAAAAATTGTTTTCAGTTATTGTCTAGATTACATTGTAAGTTTTAACATAATTATTATTTGACCATGTTTCTCTAGTGCACCCTACTACTGTATAATTATATTATATAATACAATGTAGTTTTTACCACTGACATTGAAGTGAGTCAATTCTGGGTCCTTAGGCCACACCAATTTAATTTCTTGGTTAACAGATTTTTGTTGAAAAATAATGGAGCGGGTGGGCGAAAAAAAATAAAAATAAAAACAGGCCTAGGCATCCTATTATGGCCCAAAATGGTACGATAGGAGCCATGAAGTCAACACACCAGACTAGTTCAAAATTTAAACCAATGAATTTTGAACTTTTAATGATACCACTGTATTGAAAGATGGAATAACACAGTAACAACTAGGAAGAAAAGGACTGTTTTCAACTGTTCCTAGCAAAATATGAGCATTTTGCAGTTGATTCTCAATTTTTATTTTTATTTGCAAATCAGAAAAAAATGAAGCGGGCGAATCTGTCAACCAAGAAATTGAATTGGTGTGGCCTTATATAACTTTTTGTTACTATAGAAATCCCCATAGGTCAAAATCTGTGTTCTGCTACCCTCAGTCAAATTAAAATGTTTTGCTCAATTTTCAGAGTTAAAGAAGCTCATTCTTAGCTTATGATGCAAATTCAAAATCACCCTTTTTATCAATGTTGTCAAAATGATGGATGTTTGTTGTGCAGGCCCTTCATCTAGTTGGCATGGCACTGAATGAGGAGAAGAGACTGTACCAGACGAGCCCGTACATACGCTTCAACTTTGTCAAGAAAGCTACAGAAGGTAAGCTGTTAGATTGGATTAAAGGCACATTATGTATCATTTTTGCACCAAAAATTGAAATATTTTTAGTTAAAAACACATTAGAGTATATTGGACACATTCTTAGTCTCTGTGAAGTTGTACCACTTTTGGCAGAGTGGGCAAAGGTGTACAGCGTGCAAAATACCTGGTTGCCCAGTTGCCCAAATTTTACCTGGGGCAACCTATTTTTGAACCTAGCGCTACCTGAATTTTAAGGATGCCCCCCCCCCTCCCCCAAAAATGCCCACTTGGCTTGCACCACTGTATCCGGCAAATGCTTTTTAATTTGAGGTCTTAATGGCCATTACTAGTACAAGTTAACTAAAGGCTGTTAGAAATATTGTCAAAGGCTTGTGTATGTAACATTACTTAATTTGAGGAAAGTAGTAACTTATACAGAGGAAGCTGCTTAGTTGCACCACGCATTTGTCAGCGCTTTTGGTGCAATTATCCAGGCGGTGCGACAAGCAAGGTGGGGCAACCTAAAATTCTGATGGGCATTCATGTACCTAATTTCTGCCGTAAGTTGCCCACTGGACAACCTGGTTCAAAAAAGTATTTTGTACACTGGTGTATCATGCCACAAAATTAAATTACTCGGTACAAGCAGAACAAAAAATGATGACTAAAATAGGCAGTATCAGACAGATATCCTTACTGATATTGTATTTGATGTCTTATGTTTTTCATCAAATTGTCTTTGTTCAAAGGATCTCAATGGACCCATGCCATTATTACGTCACAGTTTGTTTACCGCAATGAATGCCGGTCAATCAACTTTATATTGTACAGGGGTGCGTACCGTGGTGTGTGTTTGTGTAGCGTTAGCCTGATATAAGGCTTTTAATACAGTACTAACTTTCGTCTAATGTCACAACTAAGTCACCCATGCGGCATGTAATGCTGTGTCAACACAACTAGACGCAGCAAAAATCAGACATACCTTACTTTGAAAACTTTGAAATGATCTTTATTCTTTAACTGACCGTTCTAGAATGTTCTTTAGAACAGGTAAACAAACTGTGACGTAATAATGGTATAGGTCCATTATAGCATTCCTCGTCATAGATACAGAGAAGTAGATAATACAAGTACAGTAACTGCACAGTTTTCTAAGGGTTAGGTTTGAAATCAACCTGGTCTGGTCTGTTCAGTTGTTTGACTGCACTTTTCTTAACATGTGCCAGGGGGCTCTAGTAGCCTGTATGCAGCTCTTCATGACTTGCTGGGAAAGCCAAGGATCCAGAACCATGCAGATCTCCTGACATGGGTGATTGATGTAAGACAACTAATTTTTCTTTTCTCTTTCTTCCTATTTTTTTTTTAAAACCAAATTTAACGTCATTTTTCCCCAACCGGGGGTTAGACGTGCTTGCACCAAGTACAAGTCTTTTTTTTTTTGAAGCAAGATTTTTACGGCTGGATGCTCTTCCTAACGCCAACCCAAACCCTTTAGTGGGGTTTAGGTTCTATGTTCTGAATAGAACATAGAAAATTTGTTCCATCTGGAGTCACCTGAGGTCACTGGGGCTTGTTCACGTTCTATCTGGGTCACAGGCAGGGAACAGGTGTTCTTATGGGAGTCACCCGAGGTCATTGGAACACAACTCAAGTTATTTTTGGATTTTTTAGAAGAGAATCGTATTCTATATGGGTCACCCGAGGTCATATGTGGGTGATTATTGGGTTGTTTAATGTATGGATTGGGATGAATAAATACCTGGTTTTGATTCTATTTGTGACATTACGGCATCATAAGGAATGTGGAATGGAGCCTTCTGATTGGGCAACGTCACCTGGATATATGATAATAAACAATGAACACTCTGTCCTCCTTCAGAGATCGAATTTCCTTTACTAATCAGCCAAGTTAGTGTCCAATCCGAGGTGAATGTCGATGAAGTTAACCCTAAGTTTGCCTCGACTTCTTTCTATTGCCTTTTTCCAGAGATTTGATGAGGTTAAAGCTCTGAAAGAGCAGAAACCGGGAGCGAGCGACGCCCAGAAGGCCAAGAAGGTGTCCAGTAAGAGTAAGACTGACGCTGAGAGGAAGAAGAAGGCTGAGGCAGCCAGGAAGAGGAGGGAGAAGATCCTGGCCCAGATGTCAGACATGCAGAAGTCCTTCATCAGGGACAACCTGGAACTGTTCGAGGCCACGGGCACAGATCTGTCTTCTAGTCCATCCATGGAAGTAGAAGGAAGGTCAGTTTGTTTGTTTGTTTGTTTGTTTGTTTATTAAAGAATCTCTGTAACTCCCAGAGTCCTCAGTTGCATCAAAATATGTACACATGTATTTACATAATTGTTTTATGTAACTTGTGCAACAGTGCAAACTTAAATCACTGCAACAAACTCCTTTTACCTTCTAGCTTGAAATTAAATCCCCATGAAGATAAATTTGTACATGACGTGTTGTAATCTGCACTGTGTGGAGGACTGGGTTGACTGGGCAGTTGAAAAAAAAAATTGAATCAAACATACCTAAACTAGCACGTCGGCAGAACGCACTGCACCTGCGCGAAACCTGTAATGTATTGCATGTACATAGCACTTCGGCAAAACGTCTCATATAAGGTCGTATTCGCGCATATAAAAGGAAAACATCTCGTCTGCAGTTTCCAAATGTTATGTCGGAAAAGATATTCTCTGCAACAGTCAAAATTCTGATGCAACTTTGACCAAAAATCCATCGAAAACCGTGAAAATACAGGGTTCTGCGCAGGCGCAGTACGTTCTGCCGACGTGCTACCTAAACTAACTCCTTTAAAGTCCTTGTGTATACACGTCACGGTAACATCTTTAAACAGCTTTTTGCATTTCGTCTATTCTAATCATCTTGTTCACCATATGACCAGTCCCCTGGTGGTCAGCAGCCAGCACCCGGTGGCGGTGGGTCCAGACAGGAGTCCGGCCACCCACGTAACGCTGACCACCTCCACCTGTATCCTGTGTCAGGAAGACCAGGAGGTGTCAGCAGGGAACAAGTGTGTGGTGCTGGCAGCATACGTACAGAGGTCTGTTTACCGTTTTAATGTTAAACTTTACATACTGTAGTGATAGGGCAGTAAGAACCACGCGGCAAAGTGTATCTGACCTTTTGTATGTGCCAAGGGTTCGTCGGGAAGTGTACAGAAGATCGATTTCCTACTCAGGCTCAGTACTGTGGAATAACTTGTCCAATGAGCTAAGAATGGCCACGTCAGTTGCAGCTTTTAAAAACTGGCTGCGTCAAGCTACAAGTTAGAATGACTAAATTTGTGAACTGAAATTTGGATGCTTGATACTGGTGAGATATACGAACCGAGATAGTGTTTGGTTTTTGTATACTTTGTACAATATTTAATATATATTGTAATTATACGACTAATTGTAACTGAACTGAAGAATTTGCAAAGACCACTGACCTACCTCCCCTTGACCTCTTGAAAAACGGCTTAGGCCGAAGAGTTTGTACTGCTACAATTGTACTGTACATTTTCAAGGTGGAATAAATTTAAAAAAGAAACATCATTTTTCCCCAAACCGGGGGTTAGACTTGCTTGCACGAAGTTCAAGTCTTTTTGTTGAAGCAAGATTTTTACGGCTGTATGCCCTTCCTAACGCCAACCCAAACTCTAGTAGGGCCTGGGATCCCTCTAACTGAGGGGGGAAATACGGCTCGTTCTCATTGAAATGTACAAAATGGTGATTTTTGGGGTTGAAAAATCGATGATCTGTTTTTTCAGGCAAACCTACCTTATTTTTTAGGAAAACATCTCAATTAATGATTACCAAAAAGGACAGCTTAATTGCCATGGGAAGTTACCGAAAATTTATGCACTTAGATAAGACATATGTAAACAATGCAATTTTTTGTGCGGCAAAAACGCTGGAACATCAACATGAATTGGGTGTACGATAAAGCTTGTATTCATGACATCACTTCAAAAGCCTTTAGTTTAGGCGTCAGTATCTATGAAAGTGCTTCTGTCAACTCATTATTTACAGGTAAATATACACGTATTGAACACATAAAGAATTTAGCACAGTGTAGTGTATAGAAGTAGGAAAAAATATCTTTGGAAGCAAAGAGGAGTAGAACATCTGAGTCTGTTGACGCCACAGAGGGTTATTTTTCTTCGGATCCATTATTTTTTCTACTTTATTTCCAACTATTATGTTTATGGTGCATAGGGAAGGGAAATTCAATCTCTTGTTACGTCTTTTCCGCTACACGTGTAACTTCCGTTACCGGTAACGGATGTTACAAAACGGACGTTTTTGTTTATTTCTCCAAGAAGATCTGCAGTTTTTATCTTCATCATTTGAGAACAAGAGGGCATAAGTACGGACATTTTAAAACTGGGCGACTTTTTATATACCAGGTGAAGAAACTAAAATTGAAAGTAAAAACAATGGTAACGGATGTTACATTTATTACTGTAAAACAATTTGTTCAGCGAATGTGGCTACAAATGACAGCACACACTCTTCTCTTCTTCTCTTAGAAACCTAGAAAACTTGCTACAAGTCATCAAAATGGCAATTTCATGTCTTATATGTGACTCTATCTAAACTGCACGACCGTCTTACTTGAGCGGTAACGGATGTTACAGAACTTGGCGACAGGTATGAAACACCTCGCACGGCGTACAGGAATAGTGACAGGAGCGATCTGACTTGATCAATCAGAGGGCCTGGCCATCCGACTTCACCAGGCAGAAAACTACTGCCGTAATCAAATTTCTACGTTTTAGGCTGCTTTTTAAAGTTTCTATTTCGTCTCAGGCGACAGCCGCTTTTTAGGGGGAGAAATCCAACCCGCGACCATAATTTCTCTCAAGTCATTAATCAAACCTAGGTTTGTGGTGCATTTTTCGTGAAACATAGTAAGTGTAGTGGGAAAGTGAAAAAAGCAACAATGAGGTCCATGATTTGGCTCAGACCTAGTCATAAAGAGTGGCGACAGCATTTTGTACATTTGAATGAGAACGAGTGATACGTGTTTTAACAAGGACACAACGTCTGGGTTCAAGTCCGGACATGTCTGGGTCCAACCCTGGGGATTGAACCTGGGTCCCCTTGCTTGACAGTCGGATGTTCTATCCACTACACCACACAGTTTTCACAAGAGTCTGTTTTATTTACAGTGTACAGGTTTTACAGTTTTAGGCCACACCAATTTGATTTGTTGGTTCTCAGATTTTTTTCAGAAAAAATGTGAAGCGACAGGGCGCAAAAACAAATAAAAACAGGTCAAGGCATCCTACATGACATTGTATTATTATAGCCCCAAATGCTACGATAGGAGCCATGAAGTGAACACAAAAGGCTAGGTTGATATTTGAACAATGAATTTTGAACTTATAATCAAATCACTGCATTGAGACACTGTAGATGGAAAAACTGTAACAAGTACTAGGCAAGACGCCTCAAGAGAAAGACTTTCCTCAACTGTTGGGGGCAAAATATGAGCATTTTGAGTTGATTCAGAGCCAGAATCTTTTCTTATTTGCAAATCAGAAAAAAATGAAGAGGCAAATCCGAGAACCAACAAATTAAATTGGTGTTTTTTTAATAAGAAAAAAGAGAGAAAAAAGTGTGTTACTATAATTATAATTACCATTTGTGTGAGCATAACTAGTGGAGAAACAAGAATTGGCACATCAGTTTTTTCCATGCTTACGTTTTGTAACAAACTTTATGAAATAAATTCTATATTTATTCCAATTCAGGTCTACCGCTCTATCAAAATCCAGAGGCAAGGGGTTAGAGGACCCAGGTAAGTGACAGACAAGTAACAGATAAGTAACACATAAGTAATCTCCTTGTTTCTTCCATTGTAATTTTCTTTGAATTTGTGACTAGTATTGTTTCATCATCATCAAAATATATATATTTCATAAAGTTCATTCACAACATCGATTGTTTAGAGATGGATTTTAAACCCAGTCTTCAACAAAGTCCTTACAAAAGTCACTATAATAATACTTTTTGTTGTAAAAATAAGCCTTAATGTACAATGTGTATATTAAGTGTCTAGTAATACTAGAACAACAGCAGCTCATACAAAATAGTTTACAAAGTTTACATCATTGTTGACTGGTGTTCCATTTGAACAGATCCTGATGTTGGTTGTTTTTGCTGTATGTTATAACAGATAAGTACGACCCATTGCTGGTGAGTCCAGACCTGTACCATGGAGTCCACACCAGCACCTGTGGACACGTCATGCACGCAGACTGCTGGCAGAGGTTAGACCTACATGTAGTCCTACTAGTGCTGCATACCTAAACCCACATTTAGGTTCAGGTCCAGATTCAAGTCCAGAGGTTTAGGTTCAGTTTCAGACTTTAAGTCCGGACCTAAACCCATGGCATAGACAAACTTGCATGTTGGCAACCTTGCAATGTTGTCTGGGTGAAACTTTGGCCATGTAACATGGAGGCCGGTACTTGATGATGCCCGATGGCAATGTTTTCTTCATTTTCCATCTACGGAAGGTTTTAGGTGGTTTGGAAAGGAAAGGGGTATGTGAAATGGTCTTTTATGGTAATAAGTCCGGACTCGGTTCTTGACTTTTAGTTTTTTTTGGACTTGAACCTAAACATTCTTACAAGTCCGGATCCAAGTCTAGTGAACCGGTATGCAGCACTAAGTCCTACACACTTTGTCAGGGCTCAAAATACTGGGTGCATGTGCACCTTAGTGCACCCAAAATTGGAGCTGTGCACCCAATTTTTTTTCTGTGGGTGCACCAGTGCACCTAAATATTTTTGTAGGTATTGTTTTACATATTAAATGTATACAGTAATACTGGATATTTTTGGCATCTGTGTCAGAAAATCTTTGTTGTAGTACTTGTTTATTAATAAGATTTTGAAGTTAGCTCCCATTTCAGATTCAAGCTAAGAATAGGAGCAATAAGATCTGTAATTAGGTTTCATTTTATATGGTGCACCCCAAAAATTTTATGTGCACCTAAATTTATAGGTTGGGTGCACCAGTGTCAGACCCTGGTGCACCCAACCTATTCGCAAAAATTAATTTCGTTTTATTAATTTAATTAAATTCATTTTTGCGAATAGGTGCACTGGTGCACCCAACCTAAAAAAATTAGTTGCACAAAAAATTTTTTGGGGTGCACCATATAAAACAAAACCTAATTACAGATCTTACTGCTCCTCTTCTTAGCTTGAAGCTAAAATGGGAGCTACATGTAACTTCAAAATCTTATACAAGTAGTACAGTAAAGATTTTATTATTTTTCTGACACATTGATGCCAAGAATATCCTGTACATGTATAATTATCATATATACATTTGATAATAAATTATGTACAAAAATACCTACAAAATTATTTGGGTGCACCAGTGCACCCACAGAAAAAAATTGGGTGCACAACTCCAATGTTGGGTGCACTAAGGTGCACATGCACAGATATTTCAAAACCTGCATGTAGTTTTTGGTCGAGAAGCAAACAATACTGTAACATATCTTTTTCAATACTACGGACAATTGCAAGTTATAAAATGTTTGCTTCTGTTTGCTGCTCAAATAAATATGTTTCACGAGCAATGGTGCCAGGTTCTGAATCGTCATTTTCACTGTGACGTCATTGGCAGAATATAATTGGATCATTTTGCGGCAGAAAGCAAGAACTGCAAGGATTATTTGCAAGATTCAACATACCCTAACATCAGATTGAAGAGTGTAGTTTTGGTCCAAACCTTAAATAATACTGTAATTATAATTAATAGTATAATGTCTGACTATTTTCAGAAACAGTAAACGGTTGTATTTTAGTGTTATTGGTGTCATATGGTCTTTAAGGTTGGTCAAATATACTGACTTACCATTTTTCCTTGGGGTGACTTTATTTGCCCACAGGTTTTATGAAGCTATCGTAGCCAAGGAGCAGAGGAGGACGATGCGGTTTCGCCACATCCTGAGCTACGAGGTTGACCGAGGGGAGTTCCTGTGTCCGCTGTGTGAAACCCTCAGTAACACGGTCATCCCCATCCTCCCACCTTCTACCACCATACAGCCTGACACGTAGGTTTCATTCAATACTGGCCAAGTTTTTTTAATGAAACTTTATTGCATGTTCATTCCCCCGGGGGGATAAATGCACGGATGTACAAAGTACAATGTACTAGAGAGTACTACTGTAACAACAATATACAATTGTAGTAATAAAGAAGGGCTAACATCAGGTCTAAGGTATACAATGCTAAAAAAGAAATATATTATATAAAGTGGTATAGATCTAAGGTCTAATGGCTTCTTCTCTCTTTTTGAAACATTTTGAAATATACTAATACATACTTCATTGATGACGTCTATATTCGTACATGATATTAATATATTTAAAAGTGTCTTCCTTTGATAATGTTTTACATTTTTTGTCGAGCTTAATTGAACTGAACAGTGATTTACGTTCATTATCATATAATATACAGTCAAGCATAAAATGCGATTCATCTTCAATACAAGAATTGTTACAGAATTTACATAGTCTATCTTGTAACGGTGTACGGCTATTAATATTCATTTAATCTCAAGACAGCTGGGTAGACCTATCCAGCTTGGGATAGCTGTTTTCTGAGGGAGCCCAGCATATTACAAGACACGGCATTATCATATTCAGTAAAACAAAGGAAAACAACATACAGTATAAAACATGAAGTCCAATGGGTCAAAACAGACAAAGTCATATTCCCCAAAGAACAGTTTTTCATTTAAAACAAAATAAAATAAATTTTAATCAAATGAAATAGATTTTCTGGCATTGCTGTGCAATAGTTAGAGCGTTGGACTCAGAACCAAAAGATCCTGGGTTCGATACTCACCATGCCCCAAAGTCTTGCCCTTGGGAAAGGCACCTAACACTACCTTCCCTTCCCTAATGATGTAGTGACGCCTGGTGGAGTTACCGAGCCTCTTAGGCTAATCTGTCTACCAATCTGTGCCAAAAACACATGTCGGATTTGGTGCGCCAATGTGCCAACATGTGTACAATTTGCCACCATGTAGGAGCCGTTAATTTTTTTCTTTCATTTCCCCAGTGTGTCTGCAGACATCAGTTTGAGTTTCAGTGACTGGCTGGACGGTCTACAGAAGACGGTGGAAGCAAGTCAACAGGCAGTCATGAAGGAAGAGGAGGACAAAATGGAGTCTTCAGGTCAGCGTTCTAGCCAATCGGAAATATTATAATTTTATTATTGTTTTTCCGTCATCTCAATTTCGTTTGACATAACATCATGTCTAGCACCAAAGGTGCCAAGGTGGTCTGGTGCCATGCTTCCCCAGAAAATTTTTAAATCTTGACCATCCGAAATGCTGTTTCCTGCATTTTTAGGGGCAGGTACATGTAGACTAAGCTTCTAAGTTCAGTGGCATCTCCTTGCACACCAATTTTTGTCTGTCAAAAATGACAGATTTGGCAAAATTTTTGTCCGCAATGAGTGGCAAAATTCTGACCTAAAGATGGATTTTGGTAGAACACTGCTTCAGGTTAATACATTTGTCAGTAATGTGAGTCTGTTCATTCATTTGCTTGTAGTTTTTTTTCTTTATTAAAGCTTTGACATGGTAAAAACAGTCTTGGAACAGCTGAAAATGTGTTTTTTTTCTAGGTATCATAAAGTTAGGTTGCCATATTCAAGCTGAGGACAATGCTATGGATAAGGAATTGTCCATACACGGAATAAGAAAGAAACCCTTATTCATATTTATTATGTCAAATTAATTATTTGTGATTTTGTGTACACAGATGACTTGCCTGTACTGTCCCCCTGCCCTCTACCCAGTATCACTAAGAACATGGCAGAGATGGCAGCACAGGGCTTCCAGCAACTGTTTGAGTACATGACGGAAACAGGGTAAGTACATCAGCATGAAAGTTCATCTGAGTTCGTAAATTACATTTTATGAAAAACTTAAAACTGTTCTCCAACTCAAAATTTGACTCACCAGAAATTTTCGACTGAATCACTCAGTCTTCCTCAGCTATCTGACCCAAATGCTGTGGACACGTGGGTCAGAATCTTGGATACCGAACAGGATTACTTCAAGAGAGGCATAAAAGAGGCCCATATACATCAGGGCACTTCAACCATCGCTCAACCGGGACGGGGGGCGATATCGACTTCAGACAACCTTTGACCCTTTGCTGACGTCACACGTGGGAAAAATCACGTGTCCACAACATTTGGGTCAGATAGCTGAGGAAGACTGAGTGATTCAGTCAAAAATTTCTGGTGAGTCAAATTTTGAGTTGGAGAACATTTTAAGTTTTTCGTAGGGTAAGTACATGTAGATGTTGCATGCATTTCATCGCAAGATAGACCAGTTTACCTTTCACTGATCGCATTAACTTGTTTTGCCAGAGAACGTTATACCGCCAGAGGAAGGTTGTGCTTCTAGAGAAGGTTATACTGTACCTGCCATAATCGACTGTGGGTTGGATCGCCCGAAGGCCGGAGGGAGATCCGACTCGCGGGAGGGTTGGGACCGAGGGTGGTGCAGGATATGCTGTTTATATTATTAATGTAGTGGAGGATGAAATGCATTTTACAAAATATTGCCATTGCCCTCATTGTAGCACCGAAAGAGATTTAGGTATTTAAAATGGTCACCAAAATGTTCCCTAGCTTTATTTACCTTCCCAGCCTACAAAAAACTGAATTTCTAACACTCCCCAATTCATACATCATTTTTTTTCTCGCAAAATGTCGGCCATTTCGTACTCCACTGCACACAGAAAAGAAATCAAATCCAACAATAATTATATCCAAATTAGCATTAGCATTTTTATTATCATTTTTACTGTTTACTTAGTATTTGTTTTCATGTTCTTGCAATTAGCTCTCGGGCATGAATCTGCAATAAACTGTCTATATTCCGTTGCGGGTATAACATTCTCTTGCGGCATAACCTTCTCTGGCAAAATGACGCATTTTAACCCAGTATCAAAACTCCCACCCACTTGGAAGCCTGCACCGGAGTAGTGCTGCATACCTAAACCCACATTTAGGTTCAGGTCCGGATTCAAGTCCAGAGGTTTAGGTTCAGTTCTTGTAAGTCTGGACCTAAACCCATGGCATAGACAAACTTGCATGTTGGCAACCTTGCAATGTTGTCTGGGTGAAACTTTGGCTACCTAACATGGAGGCCGGTACTTGATGATGCCCGATGGCAATGTTTTCTTCATTTTGCAGCAAAGATTTTGCAATCTACGGAAGGTTTTAGGTGGTTTGGAAAGAAAAGGGGTAAAATGTGTGAAATGGTCTTTTATGGTAATAAGTCCGGACTCGGTTCTTGACTTTTAGTTTTTTTTGGACTTGAACCTAAACATTCTTACAAGTCCGTATCCAAGTCCAGTGAACTGGTACGCATGCAGCACTACACAGGAAGCTAGCTATAGTCGGAAGGGATATTCAATTATGTACAAAAAATGTACTAGCAGATTGTCAGTGTGAATGAGTGATGTCCTTTGACACAGAGCCTTTGTTGTGTTCTCCGTAGCGCCCAAGCCCAGTACTCTGACAGTGTGAAGGAAATGATGAAGCTGTTCTCTCGAGCCACCTACACGGTGAGTCACAGTTCAGTACAGCAGTGTGTTTTAAAGTAAAGCAGCCCCATTACTTGGAAATAGAGGCTTGTTTGGCTTTGAAAATGGTGATGCCAACTCATGTCATTTACAACTTCAAAGGCATCCAAAGCAATTTCAGGGCGCCAAAACACAAAAATATCCTGGATGAGGAAATCTTTCTGATATTGATGCTTACTGCCATTTCTCAGCATATTTTCGTTATCATTTCGTACTTGACGTGTTTGAAATGGCCTCAAAACAAGCTACTTGACAATTCCCTTTATTTTTCGTACCATCAAGTAATAACTCATCACAAGCCAATCAGCAATATTGCAGTTTTGCCTCATGGATATTAGTATGCTATAATGGGATAAGTTTGATTCAACTCAAGACTGCATTATTTTAAAAAAAGACCAGACTGGAACTCGTTGCCACCAAGCACAGTTGGGGCATCATCACTAGAAAGCTTTAAACAACTCTTGCAATTAAATTTGCAACGATTAAGTGTAACAAGTCGTTTGGTGTGATATAGCTAGCTGCCGCCGCGCCACGTGCCTGCGAAGCTGGTGTGTTACGCCGAAGAGCGGTTATACCGGCTATACCGATACGGATACAGATACAGATACCAGAAAGTTGAAAGTTTTACTGCCCTGAAATCACTTTAGATGCCTTCAAGACTTTGTCCCCCTGGTTGATTGCATTATCCTAGAATGCCTGTCATTCCCTCTACTGATTTCTTAACCCATCCCCATTCACAACTGGGAAAGTACTTGAGCTGTGTAATTTTCACTAATCGGAAAGTGATTGATGTCTACTCGCCACTCAATGCCATTGATTTTTTTTTAATGTTTGACCATGCCGTTGTTGTGTGCTTCCTCTAAAACAGAACATGCTGCATGACCCGCCCCTTCCTACCAAGGCAAGTGATTCAGCTGCCACGTATTTCTGGAGTGTCGGGCGACTCGGACCAATACCAACTCGGCCCACTCAACTCGGCCCATCTCCCTGGTCAACTTGGCCCAACACAATGGTCAGCTCGGCCCAACACCCTGGTCAGCTCGGCCCACACCTTCAAAAACCTGAGAGTCAACAGAGTTCAATATTATCTGACGAAGACGCACGGTCTCCATTAAAATAAACTTGTCTAACTATTTTGCAATATTTTGTGTCAGTTTGGTGGATGGGCCGAGTTGACGAGGGCGGTGGGCCGAGTTGACCAGATTTGCAATGGGCCGAGTTGGTAATGGTCCGAGTCGTCCTGATTCTCCTATTCTGCTTAGGCGAGCACGTCGGCAAAGTTTACTGTGCCTGGGGGAATCCTGTAATGTATTGTGCACAGCACTTCGGTAGAACGTCCCTTTTAAGGATGTATCTGAAGTGCATTCAAGGAAGGCATCCAGTCTAAAGTTTTGAAATGTTGTGTCGGAAGAGGTATTGTCTGCAATGAGCAAAACTCTATTGAAACTTTGACCAACTTCCAACGAAAACCGTGGAACCTCCAGGTTTCGCGCAGGTGCAGTATGTTCTGCTGACGTGCCACCTTGGCCCTCTTTCCACTGGACAGCAATCACTGAGCGACCGTTGAGTGTCCAAAACGTCTTTTATATTTCGAATATGATACAAAATAAAAAACATTTGGTCTTTGTCAAACTTGAAATTCATTGAGTCAAATAATTCACTCAGCAGTTGCAGTCACTAGTGGGAAGGGGAATTTGTAACTATAACTGATCAATGCTATAGCTACACTTCGGAATGCTGTCTGTAGGGTCTGCAGCATATCAATCCTTACAAATGTACTTCCCTGTCACACAAAGCTAACCATGGGCTCCCAACCTGCTCCAGATCATGCAGGGTTCTCACCAGGAATTTTTAATAGGATAGGGGTCAGGTATACAGAAGAGCAAATTTCATGCGCAAATTGCACATTGAGCCAAAATATTTTGAAACTCATAACCTCCTGAGACACTATTTTCTTGTTTAATGTGGAACAGATTTTGTGAAGTTAAGGTTTTCCCTTTGCGATAGCTTAATTGCTAAGTTATATTAATTTTTCATTTTTTGCAAGATTTATGAAGGTTCTCCCTCCCAAAACACTCCTACAGGTTGAGACAGCATAGGGGTCAAATTTAAAGCATAGGGGGTCAAAATCATAGCATAGGGGGCCCCTAAAAAGGTCTGGCTAGATCACTGCCATGGTCGGGAGTTAGTCGTGAGCAAGATCATCTGTGTGATAAGAATTAAACTGTTCCCCAACTCAAGGAAATTGACTCACCGGTATTTTGGACCAAATCACTCGGTCTTCATCATCTACATGTATCTGGCCAAAGTGCTGAATAGACACGTGATTTTTGTCCACATGTGACATCAGCACTGAGCCAAAGTTTGTTGGAAGACCAAGTGATTTGTTGGAAAATTCCAGTGTCACTAAGATAATTTCCTTGACTTGGAGAACAGTTTAATTTTTATTTTGTATGTATTTTACCAACTCAGATGAACTTTCATGCAAGATCATTTGTGGTGGGAACAGTCGTTGAGGCTGTGAACCATCCGACTATAATTTTTGAAAAACCAAAGTCGGGAAGTCGTATTCTGCTTGGATGTGATCAGGAGAGCAAACTGGAGCTCGAATAGGATGGATTCCAGGATACTCCCAAATAGAGCTGTGTACCTAAACAAATTTTAGGTACAGGTACAGGTACAGGTACACAGGTTTAGGTACAGGTCCGGACCTGAACCTGTACCTGAACAATTCAACCAATTTATATGCTCTTCTGAACTCCTTTAATAACAAAAAAAACAAATAAACTTGATAGTTAAGGTTTATTCTTTGTTTTTAGCGAATGCTCAGATAAAATATAGGCAAAATTAAGATGTTTTTGCTTTCATGAACACACTGTCCTTACACAGGGACCCATTTGAGGTCACAAATAGGCATAAAATTGGTGTGAAATTGTTTAGGTACAGTACCGGTACTGAGGGATTAGGTATTTTGGACCTGTACCTAATCAATTTTTCCGGTACAGTATCGGTACTGCGTACCGGTACACAGCTCTACTCCCAAATTATAGCACCGACTTTGGTTGGGGGATGGGTTGGGAGCAAAGTTGTGGAAAGGTCCTGAATGTGTGACAGGAACTTTACGAAACCCCATGTCATGTCATGTAGAGACACAGGCTTGGCTCTGGAGCTGCCTTGT